AGAATATATGATAAAATTTTATTTCGTGAATGAAAAAAGGACAAAAATTTGTCTTGGGTTGCAAGTATACCAATTTCAACCAACCATTTAAACAATTCATTCCAGAAAATTTGTGTTTGTTGACAGGTCCAAAATATATGTTCTATGCTATCTATTTCCATATTACAAAAATCACAAAGACTAGACTCCACTAATTTACATCTAAAGAGAAATTTGTTAGTTGCAATATTTCTATGTAGGAAATCAAAATAAAAATTTTGCAAAATATTATCCTTACAAATATCAAACGCATTCAAATATATTTGTTGCCAATTGAAATTTTTATCTGGAAATACTGCCTCCCATTTTAACTGGGATTTTAGTTTTTCATTCTGGTATTTTAGCTTTCTTTCTTTTTGAACCTGTGTTAATTTTCTATTTAGGAGATGTGTTTCTGTTTTTTCTAAAAGCTCATAAATATTTATTTCCTCAGTTGTTACAGAAAGAATGACATTATCTAATTTTCTTTTCCAACATTTTGGGATTGAAGAGATAAGTCTATGGTAATTTAAAAACTCAGTATTAGGAATGTTATATTCAGTTTTTAATTGACTAAAAGTTTTAAATTTTTTTGCGTTTATATCATAGATATCTTTTACATGGTATATATTTTTGTTTCTCCACTGTCTGAAATAGAGAAGGCTATTGTTATTTTTTATGTTTGAATTTTGCCAAAGAATTTGTTCTGAAATATTTTTCGGATTTTCATTAAAATTGATTTCACTCCAAGCTACTAATACTTCGTGTATAAATTTATTTTTGATTTTAAATTTCAATATATCTTTTGTGTTTATATTGCATTTAAATATAGATATTCCACCTAAATGATTTATATTTTTCTTTATTATTTCTTTCCACAACCCATCATTTGAATCGTTTATTATTCTTTTTATCCAGTTCGATTTTATTGAGTTCAAAAATATAGGAATGTCAATCATATTTAGACCTCCGTTTTTGTACTCCTGTATTATTACATCCCGTTTGACTTTATCCCTTTTTGAGCTCCATATAAATTCATAACATTGTTGTTTAATTGTATTTACAGTTTTATTTGGAGGATTGGGTAGAACAGAAAACAGGAAAGTTAATTTTGGAATTATTAATGATTTCAATACTGAGATATTACCAATTGTTGTGAGATGTCTAGCTTTCCATCTGTTTATGTCTATTTGGAATTGAGATAATCTGTTATCGTAATTTAATTTGAGGATATGGTCAGTTTTTGAATGAAATGTTATTCCTAGTGTTTTGACACTTTCTGATGTCCATGAAATATTACTATATTTTTTTCTACAATATATAAGGTCGTGCTGGTTTCGCAGTGGGCCTATTCTTAGAGCTGTACATTTACTATAATTAAGATTTAGACCCGAGATGAATGAAAATTGTTCAAATATATATAACATTTCTTTGAAACTGTTATTTGTACCATCTAATAATATTGTTGCATCATCAGCAAACATGCTGCTTTTTACTTCTATATCAAATATATTAAATCCTTTAATATTTGTATTTTCTCTTATTGCTATGGAGAGGAGTTCAATTGCTAAAATAAAAATGTAAGGAGATAAAGGACAGCCTTGTCGGACTCCTTGTCTGATATTAAATGAGTCCGACAAGAAACCATTGTAAAGAATACAACTTGTTGGATTTTTGTATAACAATTTTACCCACATTTTTAAATTTGGTCCAAAGTTAAATAGATCGAGTGTTTTTAAAATAAAATTATGATTCAAACTATCAAAAGCTTTTTCAAAATCAGCAAAAAATAATATTCCAGGTTTTTCGTTTGTTCTGCGTACTCGATTACATCATAAATCAATCTTATATTTTCACCAATGTATCTGCCTTTAATAAATCCAGTTTGGCTATTGTCGATCAAGTTATTTAGTACACGTTTAATTCTATTAGCAATTACTTTACTCAGTATTTTATAGTCAACGTTCAATAAACTTATTGGCCGCCAGTTTGAAAGAATGATAAATCTTTTTTTGGTTTTGGATTAAGGTAATTAAACTCTGTGCCTGCAACTGACTTAAATATTCAGTTTCGAATGAATAATTAAGAGAATTTATTAGATCATTTTTAATTTCATTCCAAAACATTTTTTTAAAATTCAACGTTTATACCATCTGATCCAGGACTTTTCCCATTTTTCATGGTTTTAATTGCTTCGATACACTCTCCTTCTGTAATAATTCCTTCACATAATACTTGCTCGTTGTCGTTTAGTTTAGGGATTTTATTTTCATCATAAAAGTCATATGTTGAGTCTCTTTGTATCTTTTCACTGTACAGACTTTCATAGTATTTTTTTTGCTCATTCAGAATTTCATTTTGGTTTGACGTAACATTACCATTGACATTTAGATTATTAATAAGTTTTCTTTCAGCATTTCTAGTCTCTAAATTTTTTAGCAATTTAATGTTTTTTTCACTGTTGTCTAATTTAAAACTTTTTATTCTCGTTATAATTCCATTGATATTTTCATTATGAAATTGTTCTATTTCTGATTTTTTCAATTCTAAATTTCTATTTAAATTTTCGTCAAAATTGCAGGCTATCTCAGTTTCAATTTTTTCGATTTCTGTCATAAGTTTTTGAATTTGTTCTGTTTCTGTTTTCTTTTTATATTTTGAAAATCTTATAGTTTCATTTCGTATTGTACTTTTAATAACTTCCCATCTGACTAAAGGGTTTGTGTCTGTATTAAGAGAACGTATTTCAGTTATGGCATTTTTAATTCTGTCTTTAAATTCCATATTTAAAAGTAAACTATTATTTAGTTTAAAAACACCAGGTCCTCTCACTATAGGATCAAAATTTAAAGTTACATATGCTATTGAATGATCAGATTTAAAACTAGGCTTTATGCCAGATTTTTCAACAATATTTACCAAATCATTTGAAAGAACAAAATAATCTAATCTACACGCTATATTTAACCGTACTTTTGAGCGCCAAGTAAATCTTTTAGTGAACGGATTTTGTACCCGAAATATATCATTAAGTTGAAAAGTTTCAAGTATACTTTTTATTTTTTTGCGACATTTCAAATGTGTATGAGGGTTACCACCTTGTTTGTCAATATTAGGTTCTAGCACTACATTAAAATCTCCTCCTATAATAAAAAAGGTGATCACTTCTGTCTTTAATGAAGGCTTCTAATTTACAGAAAATATCAATATCATCTTTATTTGGGCCGTATACATTTATGATAAATACCTCTTTGTTTTCAATCTTTACATGAAGTGCTAATACACGTCCGATCTCAATTTCAAAAGTATTTAGAATGTGAATATTTAAACCATTTCTGAAAAGAACTGATACGCCTAACTGATTACTTGAATTCCCACTATTAATTATTGTTCCATCCCATTCTTTTTCCCACTTTTCTTTATCAGCCTGTTTGAAATGCACTTCTTGGAGAAGGCTTATGTCAACCTTTTGTGTTTTCAACCATTGAAAAATAGCAATTCTCTTGTCTTTTCCAGAAATTCCGTTAACATTATAAGTAAAGATAGTAGTTTTAGACATTAAATTGAATCGATGAAGAAAATTTATATACCACCAAAGCAGTTAAAAATTGTTCAAGTATAAAAGTCTTCCTGCAAAGAGGATTAAGTTGTGAATTACATGACCGCTACTAAATATTGTTTAAATTGATGTTTTATCTATTGTAAATGAACTATGACATTTTTTATTAATATCTAATGAATTGCTTGGTAACATTACAGGTATGTTAAAATAACAATAATAAATTTTTAATCTAAGCTTGATCGCTATTAAGTTAAATCCTAAGTAAACCAAATATGACATACATATACATATATTCGGTGCAAATCAATGTTAAAACAGTCATTACGTCATTTTTATCTACTATCAGGATTTAAAAATGAATGAAACAACAACAACAAAAACCAAAATAATTCAACATGACATATCAGAAAGAGAATATTATTATGGTACCTAACATACACTCTTACATATCATTTAAAGATGTGAATATTTGGAGAGAAAAAACTAAATGTTATGGATTAAAAAAATTTTAACAGAAAAATATTTATGTTTATTAAGTCATTGTCCAATGATTACTAAAGTTACTTTATTCTGAAATGAGTTATGAAGGAATTTTAGGTGACATTTGGAATAAGAGGATGAAAACAGAAAAAAAATATCTATCTAATTTTGGTATCAGTACTATCAAAATCATTTATATATCTTATATTTCTTAATATCAAATCTAATTAATTTAAACAGCAAGCAAAAAATATTACACTCATTTTGAAAACTCCTACCATCAAATCTAATAAATGTAATTGCTAGCAAATCACATTACATACAGTTTGACATTCATGCTATCAAATCTAATACAAATCATGTTACATTCATTTTGACATTCACACTATCAAATCTAATCGATTTAACTGAAGACAAAACACTTTACATTTATTTGTACATAAATACCGCAAGCAAAATACATTGTATTCCCTTTGACATTCATACCATCAAATCTAGTAGATTTAACTGAAAACAAAATATATCACATTCATTTTAACATAAATACAGCAAGCAGAATATATTACATTAATTTTTACCTTTATACTATCAGTCTTAATACGTTCAACTACAAGCTAAATATAGTGTATTTATTTTGACAATTTGAAATTTTGACAATCATAGTACCATAATCTAAATAAATTAACTGCAAACAAAGTATATTATATTCGTTTTGACGTTCATTTATACTTTTAAATAAATTAACCACAAGCAAAGTATACTATATTCGTTTTGACGTTCATTTATACTATTTAATGGTGTAACTTTTACCGAAAACAAAAACTTGACATTTTTAGAGAATTGTTATTGTTTTATTGCAGTACCGTTTTGACAGAAGATAAACACAACATACTTTAATTCAAATCTGTTTCGTTTATTTCTTTCATTTCATAAAAATATCTACAAGAAACATAACTGACCATAAATCTTGGTCAATATAAAATATATTACATTTAACAACAGGTATCACACAAATCTTTACAAATGTGTCAATGTAAATTTCGTAAACCAGATAATTTGAAGACGATAATAGCAAATATTAGAGTCCCTGCCAAATAAGCTGCTAAATATCCGAAGTTGTTTGCAATATCATCCACAGCACCAGGGTAATATTTGTTTAGGTAATCATTTCCACTTTCAATACAATTTAACGTCACTGAAATGTATCAAATATTTTGGTACTATAAATTCATTATACTATGTAGTTCATATAAAATAGAAATACATAAGGTAAGATAAATATTAATTCAAGTTATACTGATATTATTAATGCGATTTGATATTCTAATACTTTGCATGGGATGACTAAAAGATTTTCCTACTTTTATACAGGAAGAAATTAGTAAAAAACACAACACTTATTTTGGTCAGGTATCGGAGCATTTGCAGTCATTTTTTATTGTATGCCAATGTCTTCAAACTTACCATTCCGATCACAGTCAAAGTCAAGGTCTTTAAACTCGTTTGCTACAAAAATGGCTGCAGAATATCTATGTATTAGTATATAGCTTAACCACTCCATTGGTTCAACCAGGGTATCTAATGTTCTAAAAAGGAAATATATTTTACAGACGTTGGAAAAATTGTTACACTGAAGTTACACTAGACAAAATGTGACCTTTATTCATAAAAGAAAATAATAATAATACATTTTTTAATAAAACCTTTCAAACAATCATTGATATCTTATTCATCTGTAGAGTACCTTTACTTACACTGAAAAGCATAGCTTTTAATACATCGTTACGGTCACATTCAATGTCTTTTTTTGGAAATTTTCAAAATCGACGAGAAGGAAAACTCACTTACAAAGTTTTATTTTTAAATTACTTTGACGACAAAGAAATGATATATAATGCGTGTTTTCAACCTACATGCAAATCTATTCTTTTAAATATATAACCTTCTCTATTTCTCTAGATGAATTTAAATGAATGTCATCCCAAATTTAACTCATTTTCCGTAAATTGTCAAGGAAATGTTTCAACAATGTAAACTTGAATAGATTTTGCAAAATTTCCGTTCAAGGAATTTTGTCACACAAATATAGATCATACTTAATATATCCTGACGCTGCAATGACAGCAACTGACTGCAGCAGAACAGCAACACTGTTGGCTAAATTTGGATTCATAAACATTCCTAGACAGGCAACAGTCAATATCTCTCCCCAATAATGCAGCATGAACACCTCGAGTGTAAATATACCAAATCTATCGGCACTTGGGTACATCCCGCAAACCCTGTAAATGAGAAAGGGGAAAGAAATCCTACAAAATATGTAAATAGTACTTTTACAATTAGATAACAAAAAAGCATTTGTGCTTAATCAGATCACTCATTGTGCATATAATAGTTAAAAACGCAATTTACTTTTCTCTAAGACAAATTTACTGTAATGCTATATCAACCGCTATTTGTACTTTAAAAGATACCTGAGCAAGAAGTAAATGCAGTCTATAAATAGCTATGTCTTGTGGAAATTGTGATTTATATAAAATTTTACCATACCAGTATATAATACTGCTAAATATGGCACTCGACACAATATTGAAGGGTATGACATGTATGGAGTAAGCTATCAAGAATGTCGCAGGTCCATACAATCCGTCTCGACTCTCACGGTAGTATAAATCCCGCAAACATAAAACTGAAAATTGAACCGATTATGTTGACAATAATAAGTTTAAACGTTGGTGTACATCTACAAAATATACGAGGCATCAACAAACATCTGGTCTTCGAATATATTTGTATAAATTTTGCCTGCGCCTGCGTTTTGTTGAACATTTTGCCATCCTGATCCTCTCGTTTTTTCAAGTTAAAATATGTTTAAAAGAAAAAAAAGAAATATTTCAAGAATCAGATGTCATAGAATCAGACAACAAGTATGTCTTGGTCAAAATATATCACAATAAATGTTACGTTATTAAGTAATAATTGAATTAACACTTATTTTTACTGATTTCTGCATGATATATGTACATGTTTTTGCAAGTAAATGATTATACGTACAAAGTGCAATGCTGTTAATGATGCCCATGAAGGGAGGGCCTGTGGTAGCGTTGTAGATCAGACCAATACGGTCCTGGATACTTGTCTGGGTGTGTTTAAGCCTTCCCAAGAAAATGATGATGAACACCATAAACAAGGGGAGTAGAAAAATACGAGCAAAGTAGTCCTTTCGATCTCTAAACACGTTAGTATACATCCGGCTGGGAAAAAAAAGATTTGTTCATTACCGCTAAATTCATTATTATAGACATGTGAAAGCAAAGCATATTAATTCATTACCAATGACAAAGTAACCGTCATGGGTGTAATAGTCTCGTTAGTAAGTTTTTCATAATCTTACAAATATGGAGTCTCTGTCATTTTATATTTATAAAATGTCTTATATCTGTAGTAGTGTTTGTTTTTTTTAATTTTACATTATCTGAATAATCTATTCAAAATTGCAAAACAGCAGATTTGAGACATTTCACAAATTACTGTCCAAATAGATGCGATGGCTTGTTTTTATTTGTAACGTAACAAAAGATAATGATATAAGAAAAAGAAAGTTTCAACCAATAATCTCTATTGATTCAGTAAAATAATGATTTACCCTATAAGTGTTAGTAGCACCCTCATATAACTTGGTCCGCTACCTGCTTCACTACCACTACCAAGCTTACGGCCATCATTTTCATTCATGGCATTTCTTATATTGTGGAGAGTTTGTTGGTTTATATGCGAGTTTTGAAAAGCTTCTACTAAACTATCTACTCGTTTCGTACTTTCATATTGTCTTTCTAAATCACGACGATCTATGCTAGCAACATCGACTGTCACAAAAGAGAAAGACTTAAGGGTATTTTACTGTATTGCACTGTATTGCTTTGGGGTGTTTTATTATAAATAAATTTGGTGAAAATAAGTTAAACTTTCATTGAAAAAAAACCCTTAAGACTAGAGTATGTCTTTAAACAAATCATTCAATTAATATAACTATAAATATTGGTTATTGTTTATTTTCTATTAATGTATTTTGTTTTACGTTTTATTGTTACGCATTTTATGTTAAGTTTTAAACGATAAAAAAATTTCATATTTTAAAATCAACGACTCGTCAATACAAAATATAGACTTTAAATTTACTCGTTATGTGTTATATTGTATTGTATTGTGTAATTTGTGTAATATTAATCTTAAGTACATTCATTTGATCAGCAATACAAGATATGAAACTGTTGATTCGTACAACATATAGATATCATCTAGTATTAATAGTAAATCCCTTCAAAATATGCCTCAAAGATTTAAGTTGCATTGCATATCTAAGTAACGACATAATTTCCCTATAACTTACCATATCTGTCTAAAGGATTGGTATATCTATCACAAGGATAACCAAGGGCAGTGAAATAAGGAACCATCTCTTTGGCAGGTCCACAATACACCATCTGTCCCTTTGACATGATTCCAATCTGATCAAACATGTTGAAGATATCTGAACTAGGTTGGTGGATTGTTAACAGCACAATTTTCCCTTGTTTAGCCAGATCACGAAGATTTCTGACCAGGTAACGAGCAGTGTAACTGTCCAAACCTGATGTTGGTTCGTCCAACAAAACCATATCTATATCAAAATTAACAAAATTATGTCTTAAACAAAGCCAACAAGATCATATCTATGAAATAACCAACAAAATCATTTCGATAACTTATTCAACAATGTATTTTATTTGGTATAATAAATAAACCATGTTTGTAAAAGAACAAATAAATTATTGTAACAAAACCAGCAAGGCTTTATTTTAGCAGAACAATTAAATTATATCTATAACAAACAATTTTTAAAAGGGAACCAACGAAATCTAGAGAAGCAGAAAATGAAAACAAATCCAAGTTTGAACAGATGTCACTTAAATTTAACAGAACTAACCAAAAATTAAGCAGAATAGAATCGTTATTTCTAAGTGTCAGATACTCGTATATCTGTGAAAAAAAATCATTTTAAGTAAAAAAGTAAGGTTTGTTACAGTACAGTAAAGATGCGACTTCCCTTAAATAAATAGATGAGTTTTTAAATAGGACATTTCGCACATCCTTAATCAACAGGGCAATAGACTAAAGGTTACATAAAACTAGGAAGAGAATGATTTACAATTTACTGTTTCATGGGATGCATAATACTTACAAATTGTTATATGTCAAGATGTTTATTTGGAGAAATCAATATATATTACCTGGATCTTTAAGTAACTGTATTGCTATGGTAACTCGTCTTTGCTCTCCCCCAGAGATTCCACGAATTATATTACTTCCTATCCTTGAGTCAGCAACATCTTTTAGACCCATTTGCTGTATTACTTTAGCTACCTTCAATTTTTATTACAATTATGAAATAAACTACGTTGACAAAGATGTATCAAATTTACTTCTTCTCGATATAAATTTAGTCCATGTTTTCATGTAACAACCTCATGAAGGCATACATTTTAGTTATCACATATAAACATTCAATTTGAACATCAATTCCTTATTCATTTCCGGTCATACATTCAAACGCTAAGATACGTCATTAGAAAATCTACACAGATAATTGAGCTAATTACATTACATTTCTTTTATTTCACATCATTTAATATTTGTTGAAAGGATTGCTATAATCCTGCAAAGTAGTTATTTTACTACTTTATAAAAGAAAACTACCTTCCGTTCAATACCATCGGTTGTTACATGTCCTGGTAATTTCAGCTTTGCAGTGTATCTTAACGTTTCTCTAACAGTTAAGTTAGGTAACAGCCGATCAGCCTGCATGACGTACGTAGCATATTGTTGGATGACGTCACGAGTACATTTAACGTTGTTAAGATATACCTGGCCATTGACATCTCCGGTGGACCGACTAGATATTACATCTAGCAGTGAGGTCTTACCCGATCCTGAATAAATAATATATGCAAAGACATTGCTATCGAATGTTACATAAATGCCTAAGTATCACCTATTGTACAAAGTATATCATTCTGCATTAACATGTATTGTTAGCACAGGCTTTTACAAAATTCTTCATCAATAACTTCGTTCAGAGAAGCATATTTAAGTTTTACATAATAGAAGAAAAAACATTCTCTATATATACTGAAATGATAAATGGTTCATAATCATCTCATACCTTAATTGATATAAACTGACTTAAATGGACATTTTAAATGAGCTAAAAATTGCATACCTGAATTGCCAAGAATTGCCGTGAGCTCTCCTGTTTTCACTTGCAAACAAATATCCCGAAGAACTATTTTCCGTCTTATTTTTCTAAAACACGCCCCTGTCCACCACGGTCCTACCCATTCCTTCACAACGTAACATACATTAGATATATTCAGTGTTGATTGCACAGTAGATACTCCTGGTATTGGTGTTACTTTATCGTCTTTTGTGTCAAAATGCATCCCATTGGCTCTAATAAAGCCATCTGGTGCAGAATACGCTGTGGAACCATAACTCCCAAGACTATTTGACTGTATAAGTCTTGTTGTGTCCATGTTATACTTATTACTCGTACAAATCAAGTATGAAAATATTATTACTAAATAAAATACACACAAAAATACGATCTGCACTTTTTAATAAATCTTTAATGATCACTTACGTCCAATAGTATACTAGATACCTGCTGTAGCGTAAAATATACAGTTTACACGAGTTTCAAATTTCACCGACTGTAAATATTAGAAATAACTTTATCTTAGGTCAAAGCATTTTAATAATAAGACTGTCTATGTACATGAAAGTGACAATGTTTTATAACCACTAAAGTTTATCAATGTGATACATTCATATATACTTTTGTAATCAGTGTTATTGTAAACAGGACAAAGATAACTTCTATTGTTAATATGTAGAAAATACACTATGTATTACAACCGTATTACTTTATTTGAATATAATAGGAAATTAATTGAAGTATGACTGTCTTACATTCGTTATAATGACATACTTTCAACAGTGTATTTTCACGCAAAGCATTTTGAATGATATTTAAGCTAGCGTGGACGTACAGCAATTTATAACCACTCTAATCTTGTATTTGTGAGAAATACTCACAAATAAATGTGTTTGTTAAAATGCATTCGTTACTGTGACAGGCAATTATGATTCTGGAATCAATGTCGTTTTAACTTCCACAACATACAAACTTTTATACCTGATAACATTGTGCCCTTTTTATGTATGTAGGGTCAGCTAGTTTTTTAATGGATAACAACAGGGGTTATATAGAGGGCATTATTAATTTTAATAAAGGGTTACGTAATCGCTGCGCAGATTTTACAAAGTCCATTTATTTGGCTGTAAAACGAAATTTCTGACTGCTTACATTTTTTATTTTCAGTTTGCAGTCGTTTTATTAGTATTGTTAGTATTTTTAGAAATTGTTTCCTGGTCGCATTCTGTTTTTGTGTTGCATTATGATATAGTAAAATGTACACACAAATTGAGACCTCATGGCTTTATAATTGATCAAGTTATCATCATTTAAGATAAAGAACCTTAATCGGCTATATTTCAACATCTTAACGGAATTTGTATTCCTTTGAAATACCCAACGCTAGAAGTAAATAATTTATTTCAATGTGCGAGCGGGTATGTAAATGTGTGTGTGCGCGTGTGTTTTATCGTCACAAAAGTGTACTGTATTTATAAGCCAACTGTTATTTGGACATAATATTTCCCACAGTACTATTTTACTATCATTCAGTCTTGATAAAGGACGAACAAATCACTACAATATAGATACGGAACATTTAAATAAAAATTTACTCCATATAGTACTAACAAAATATGATGTTCACAATGATGTGCTTAATAATGTTATCAATTGTAAAACAGTGGAAACTTTAAAGAACGCCAAAAAAGGCAAAATTGAAATTGTTCCAGGCTCGATTTGATTGTGCCTGCTCAAGGACACTATTGTTTAATAAAAGCTACTGTCCACGGCCCCTAGCACCGGCATATGCAGAATTCAATATTTATTCATAAAATTATCCGCATATGTGTTCAAATGGCGGCTTTCATGGAACCTTAAATTCCATTTGAAAGCACGAATCCCATGTAAAAGAATGCGTTTGTCAAAAAAAAACAAAAAAAACAAGCAGAACAAAATAGAATTGAATTTCGAAACAGGGTCAGAGACTATGAGACGTGCATATAAAAGTATATAAAATGGAACAGTTTATTTTAACAACATTATGATATGTGAGTAATTATACAATATTATAATCATTTCAAGCATTCCACATATGAAAATAAAAAAAGACTTACAAATATCAATACCTTATGTAGCACTCATCAATAAATTAAAAACAACAAAGTAAAATAAATTGTCACAAACATCAAACATCATAAGAACTAAAATAATCTAAAAACGACTTAGTTTGTAAGCAGACTTATTTATTTCAAATTACACTAAACTGGTATGTACAGTTACAACCCAAGAAGAATCTCGATAAATCTGACGTACCACCACCTTTAGCTTACTATCTTTCTAGCTATGCTTTGAGCGAAACTGATGATTTGGTTTTAATGAGATTGCACCATACAAAATCGCGTTACATCACCAACTTTGCTGGTATGAAAACGTAAGCTTTGTAAATTTTTGTAAAATATCATTAAGTAATGAAACTAATGTAAATTTCGTAGTCCAGCTAATTTGAAAACAGTTATAGCAAATATTAGGGTCGCAACAAGATATGCTGCTAAATATCCGAAGTTTTCCGCTATATGCTTGTCTGCATCAGGATAGTACTTGTTAATAAACTCGTTCCCGTTATCTATACAGTTAAGCGTCACTAAAATAGAAAATAACAATAATATATCACACAACAAGGAAACAATGAATCAAATGCAAAGCTATATATCAACGACAAATTGTTTCTGTAAGGACAAATATAAGTTTGATATTTATATATAACGTCAAAACCCATGTATCACATCTAATTTATAATTTAATTTTCTTTAGTATAATCACAACTTCCCATAAAAACATTTTCTTTATATTATGTATCTCATAAAACAAGATGTATTCATGAATACTCAGTACACACTTTTCGAAAAGACTACCATCGTAAAGAATTAACACTGTAATATTTCAAGATGTACTAGACTGAGCCAAGTAAGTATCCTTCTGGTTATCTTATAAAATAGTCAAAGTTCGGCTAATACTGCAAACTTGAAATTGTTGCATTCGGCCTGTTCATGGACGGTGGTAGTTAATGCAAGCTACCAACCACACCCCTAGAACACAACACTAAAACAACAGTAAATTGTATGAAATTGTATGGAATCTAAAACGGTTGTGGACATAAGTCTTTTTATTTCATGCCTTCCAGTGTTTTATTGTAATATATCAGATGATTATATTCTGATAAACCACTAGTGAAATTTATAAAATATAATTTTCACTGTCATAACTAAATGGAATAACAGGCAGAAAAAAATGCCGTCTTGCGTAAATTTTGCTTCTTTAGGAAAAGAAAGTCGATGGCATCATACATAATGTTAAAAATGTAACAAAATTAGAGAAATGTAACAGTCCTATATTTCAAAATTGATAATGTGACGTCATGATGTGATGATGTCAAAAGGGAGAATGCGCGACGTTACGCGGCAAAATCAGTAAAAAAGTACTTAAAATCACTTAAAAAGCATGAAATAAAAAGAAAATTTATTTGTTTTACATATAAGATTGAAATATATTTCATTCGTGAACACCAGCTATTATATTTTCACTCGTGGCTACGCCACTCGTGAAAATATTGCATCTGGTGTTCACTCAGTGAAATTATATTTCAATCTTACATGCAAAACAAACAAATATCCTCTATATCTTGTTATGATAATAGACGATACAGAAATTTCTTTTCACTAACCATTACGATCACAGTCTAGTTGTAGGTCTTTAAACTCGTTTGCTATAAAGATGGCCCCAGCGTATCTATGAATAAGTATATAGCTTAACCACTCCATTGGTTTTACAAGTGTGTCTAATGTCCTGAAAACAAAAATAAGCCATGGCCTCGCATTTTGTATTCAACGTTGTGTAAAATCTAATAAGTATTACAGGTAAATTCCGATGAATATTTACAGAAATTTCCTTGGACCACGTGAAATCTTTATCGTCTATGCGAAATAAATCATAACATTGAAAGGAATTATGACAAAATGTAAACTGTTTTTTTCTTTCATCAGTTCACTCTTTATTTACCCTTTGATGGGTATAATATCACTGTAAAGGTGGTCTACAATTGGCACAATTTCTATAAGTATTTTAAGTATTAAAGTAAACAATAGAACTGTACCTTATGGATATTCTTATACAATATTGCTTGAAAAATGTTAATAACGCTTAAAAGGATTCAGTATGAACATTTTAATATGATAAATAATAATATTCTGTTCTAAAATAATTTATAAATAATACACACACTTTAAATTAAATGTGAAAACAATTTGATAATAAATGTCTTTTAACGTTTTACAATGTTGTTTTGTTTTGTTTTTTTCACAAAAAGAAATGTCCGATCTTAATTTTTTCAGTAACGCGTTTTGGGCTGTTTCCAACGATAAACCAAATACTTACTTAACATATCCTGACGCAATGATTACGGCAGCTGACTGGAGTAAAGCTGCAACACTGTTGGCTAAATTGGGATTCATAAACATTCCAAGACAGGCAACAGTCAATATCTCTCCCCAATAATGCAGCATGAACACCTCGAGCGTAAATATCCCAAACCTATCAGCACTTGGATACATCCCACAAACCCTATAATTATAATGATTATTGTATGTTAGTTAATACCATTACTTCTTCAGTTTGATGCTTATACAATTCCTGCACAATACTAGACAATAATTATCTATTCCCTAAAACTGCCTTCAACATATTTAAACGATCCATTTAGACAGAATGATATTTTTAATTGATAGCGATTCGCAAAAACTACATGTAATAAACCGAATCAGAAGTTGAAAAAAAATATCTAAAAAGACCGTCTAAATCGGCAAAACTGAAAATGTTGCAATCTCGGTTAGATTGAGTCTGTTCATGATAGAGTGTGCATGTTAGAGAATACTAAGAGACGTAATGAACCTTATTTGCACATTCATAAGTACATATATATAGGATAAAACAGTTGTATAGAATAACATACCAGTATATAATACTGCTAAATATGGCACTCGACACAATATTGAAAGGTATGACATGTATGGAGTACGCTATCAAGAATGTCGCAGGTCCATACAATCCGTCTCGACTCTCACGGTAGTATAAATCCCGCAAACATAAAACTGAAGATTAAGAATGCATCATTTAAATAAGTAAATAAAATAAACACATTGTGTAATTCTTTACATTATACAGAATTTATATAAATTCGATTGTGTTGGAAGCAATTAGCTATAGAAATATTTTAAAAATCCGTTCCTTGAACGAACCAATATAAGATGTTAGAGTGTGAATGTTCTAGCACAAGGAAACGAAAGTTTGTTCCCGACAGGGTTTGAACCCCACGGTCAGCAATCCTTAGATGTCTTGTTTGACAAGTTAACCACTAAGCTATGCGAATTATTTTAGGTAAAACTCCACACAAATTATACGAAATTGCATAATGTCAAAAACAAAACCAGCAAAATTAAAATGCTTTCTTGCTCGTTTTTAATTAAGTCTTTTCATGGACGGTAGTGGTTAATACAAGCTGCCATCTAAGCCCCTATCACGGGGTTATGCGTGACAATGGTTGAATTTGGAATACCAATACATGTTCCTTTATAATGTTTCTTACTCGATACATGTGTTTAATGGAAGATTTAGATTGAATAAAACAAGAACAATAAAATAAATATCAAAGAGATTCTTTATGTATTGGTTCGTGTAAGTTTTAGTTACTTACAGAGTGCAATGCTGTTAATGATACCCATGAAGGGAGGACCTGTAGACGCGTTATAGATGAGACCAATACGGTCCTGGATACTTGTCTGGGTGTGTTTAAGCCTTCCCAAGAAAATGATGATGAACACCATAAACAACGGAAGTAAAAAGATACGGGCAAAGTAGTCTTTCCGATCTCTAAAGACGTTAGTATACATTCGGCTGCAAAATTTAACCAAAAACATAAATAGAAACATAATCATAAAACGGGTTTTTGAAATAATTTTTTATTTATTTTTTGTTGTATAATAGGAATGATAATACTTAGTCAACAGATTTATTGTGAAATATTTCTTTTTATGTTTGTGAATTAGTTTAAGTTCCACATGACTTGTTGTCTTATTTCATTTTTGCATAATAATAATAAGTTATAAGATGCTTTTTACATCATTATCCTAAACAATTAATATTGTATTCTTAACAGGAAAGTTGATGGAATTATAACAGAAACAACAAACTAAAAATGTACTTTACCCAACAAGTGTCAGAAGCACCCTTAAATAGCTTGGTCCGCTACTATATGCTTTGCCATTTTTGGACTTGCGAACATAAATTCCAGTTATAGCTTCACTAATATTGTGAAGAGTTTGTTGGTGAATTTGCGAGTTCTGAAAAGCTTCAACTAGACTTTCTACACGTTTCGTACTTTCACATTGCCTTTCCAAATCTCGACGATCTATGCTTGAAACATCGACTACAAGAAATACAAGTATCAAGATGACCATTAAATATGTAGGAGAAATTAAAATTCCTGATGTAAGACTGATTTTGTAGAAAATAATGTATAATTTGTTTTAAGTTGCAAATGCGTGCTTTTTATATGTAGTTTACATTGTAGGTCTTCCTTTACCAATAAAGCTGAAACAAAACCAACCAACCAACAAAATCAAAACTTGTAATGTATAGTTACCTCACTTGTAACTTTGGACTTATTCATTAAAAAGTAACTTGGTTTCATCATGATGACAAATGAATCGGCAGAGACATATTTTAATCCCTGCTAGACAAAAGCAATAACTGTTTGTGTCATTTGCTTCGGCATTATTGGATATTTTGTCCGGAAAAAAAATAATGTTAATTGATAATAATATAGTTATTTACACGTTCAAACTCTCCAGTAACATTTCAAGCAGACCTCATTGAACTATGATATCAATATTTGAATTAAGGACATCAACGGAATTTTTTATCTTGGATATTTCAATAGATAGATATTACTATTTTCCGTTGAATAAATTAATATAAATTTGCATATCTCTCCATAAATATCAGTCTATGTTAACATTTACACTAATTAAACTGTTTAATATATTGAACATTACATTAATGTCCATTTAACTTACCATATCTGTCTAAAGGGTTTGTATATCTATCACAAGGATAACCAAGGGCTGTAAAATAAGGAACCATCTCTTTGGCAGGTCCACAATACACCATCTGTCCCTTTGACATGATTCCAATCTGATCAAACATGTGGAATATATCTGAACTAGGTTGATGGATTGTTAAGAGTACAATTTTCCCTTGTTTAGCGAGATCACGAAGATTTCTAACCAGGTAACGAGCAGTGTAGCTGTCCAAACCTGATGTAGGTTCGTCCAACAAAACCATATCTGTTTGTCAAAAAATGGAATGTTATATCAACATATTAAGCAATATTTGAGAAGTTCGGAAATATCATTAGTGTATTACTTCGAATACTTACCTAAATGTTATATTGTGTTACAGATCTTTTTTCATCCAAAACATATTATTAACGTGTAAAACACTTACATCATAAGAACATACATCATAAATTTAGATAATCGTATCTTAATAAAATAAGGGAAGAAACCGATCGGTCAAACAATAGCTCATATATATGTAACTTCAAGGGTTTTTTTATATAGAAAGTCATCGGTTAAACGAGAGTTTATATGTATTTAAGTTAAATATATTCATAAGAAGGTCGTAATACAATGTAGTGTACAATGATTAATACCTGGATCTTTAAGCAACTGTATTGCTATGGTAACTCGTCTTTGCTCTCCCCCTGAGATTCCACGAATTATACTACTTCCTATTCTTGAGTCAGCAACATCTTTCAAACCCATTTGTTGTATTACATTTGAAACCTAAAAGAAATAACTCTCTACATCCTTCACTGCGGACTTTAACCCTTAACCTTTTGAAATATGTTTTATAAACTTGTGAATCTCTCATTGTTTGGAATTGTCAATTTAACAGGTGACTTAAGCTAATAATTTCGGTCCCAGTAAATCAAGGGTTAATTGAAACATACTCATTTCTGTATCTATTACGAAATTTCTTACATTCTCTTACTCTTAGGTTCCATTTATTCAAAGTCGTCTACAAAATTCGGCTTCGTTTTACCTATGATGCCATGTTTTATGTCGTAATTAATTCAATAGTGTTACAAAGAAATTGATACAAGCGGTAAATTGAAGCAGGTGTAAAATGTCAATATTTTAATCAAATAGCGTTTTTAAACTTGCTAACACGCTAACTAAGTGCTAAGGAATTTGACAGTCCTCTTTTGAATATCAATGATATTATGATATCTGTTTTTTAAAGAAAACTCTTTTTGTATTTACTTTGTTGTTTTAATATATGTCTATCTAACAAGACATTCGTATATATTCATCTTTATTTCAGTCTTAAAGAAGTAATTTTACCTTCCGTTCAATATCATCTGTTGTTACATGTCCTGGTAATTTCAGCTTTGCAGTGTATCTTAACGTTTCTCTAACAGTTAAGTTAGGTAACAGCCTATCAGCCTGCATAACATACGTAGCATATTGTTGGATGACATCCCGAGTACATTTAACGTTGTTAAGATATACCTGGCCACTGACGTCTCCGGTGGACCGACTAGATATTACATCCAGCAGTGAGGTCTTACCCGATCCTAAAAATATAACGAAGGTCAAGAGATCACCAAATATTTTACATTTACTGGTCAGCATGTATTTATACGCCAGTTCATATCAGCAAAAAAATCATCTGTATGATAAATGGTTTTGATAATTTGCGCATATGTGAATAAATACAAACTGGTTTGAATGGAAAGTTACATGTTCAAACAAAAAAAGTAACATGCCTGAATTGCCTAGAATCGCCGTAATTTCTCCTGCTTTAACTTGTAAAGAAACATCCTGAAGAACAATTTTCCGTCTAGTTTTTCTAAAACACGCTCCTGTCCACCAAGGTCCGATCCATTCTTTTACAACGTAAAATACATTTGATATATTTAGTGATGAGTTCAGTACAGGTATGTCAGTAATTGGCGATACTTTATCATCTCTTCTTTCATAGAACATCCCGTTTGCTTTTGAGAAGCCATTGTGATATGAACAAGATGTGGAACCGTAGCTACCAAGGTTATTTGACTGTATCAGTTTTGCGTCCATGATAAGTTTTATTTATAAAGAATTCTCAATGAATACAACATATATATAAAGCACGTGATAAGTGATCAGCTACCTATCAAACCTAATAACAACTATACAAGTTATATCCAATTTTTAATTAATATGCATTTTTATTTCATTTATACTGAATTTAAAAACTTCAGTACGCACTATTGAACTTTACTCAATTTAAACGTAAGTGATCAACTTATACATAAATACATATTATCTACATTTTGTAGGTGAAGCGTTTATCAGTCTGACCAGATTGCAAACTATTAAATCACATTTGCATTTCATTGTCATATCACTGAAGGACACACTACTAGGATGACTATCATTGATTATATACCAAGCGTCATCAAAAATAAACATAACACATTTGTTCATATTCAAAATTACGAAACGGGACATTTTCTTTTAAAAGGTGTGTTCTTTTCTTATAGAGATATACGATCTTAGTAATTTGTTGTTGTTTTTTTTTTCATATATATTTAAGGCCAAGAATGTTTTAATTGTTATTTTTCAAACTCCTTCATTTTTGGTGTCCTGTTAAGTTTCCAAAATAGCTAAACATAGGTTTTTTGCTAGAGGTATAGTGGCTTTGAATTCTGTTTCAAAGTCAGAATACTATATTGTATTTTGTTTACATTACCAAAAAAGAATTCATTCATCTCAAATTTCTTTAGGAGAAAAGGTACACAAACACTAAAACTACTATTTAAACGTTAAAAAACTCAAGTGTGCCATTTTAAAATAGGAAAAATAAATCAATTCTGAGGGAAATGCTCCTTTAAACTTAGAGTTGATATAAACAAATACTTATATGTGTACACCAAATCTTTAATGCTTACATGCAGAACTATGTTCAATATTTTTATGTCCCCGCCATATAATGGCTGAGCATATAGTGTTTCCCTGTTCCGTCATTCCGTCCTTCCGTCATTCCCTAATTCTGTCATTCCGTCATCATCAGTTTCCGTTCATTATCTTGGTAACGGTTGCACACATTCAACTCAAATTTGGCATATATATATATATATATATATATATATATATATATATATATATATATATATATATATATATATATATATATATATATATATGTGTGTGTGTGTGTGTGTGTGTGTGTGTGTGTGTGTGTGTGTCATGAGAAAATACAGGTCAAGTTCGTATTTGGTAATGGTTTGATGATTTTTAGCAGAGTTATGTCCCTTTTACTTTGAAAATAATATGAAATTTAATTTTCAGTTTCCGCTCATTATCTCCCCAACGGTCTTACACATTCAACTCAAACTTGACATATGGATATGTCATGAAAAAATACAGGTCAAGTTCAAATTTGGTCATGGTTCGATGCTTCTTGGTAGAGTAATACCCCTTTTACTTTGAAAATAATATGAAATTTTCAGTTTCCGTTCATTATCTCCCCAACAGTATTACACATTCAACTCAAATTTGACGTATGGATATGTTAAAGAAATGCGCAGGCCAAGTTCGAATTTGGTTCCATGATTTTTTGCAGAGCGATGCCCCTTTCACTTTGAAAATAATATGAAATTTTCAGTTTCTGTTCATTATCTCCCCAACAGTGTTACATATTCAACATAAATTTGACATATGGATATGTCAACGGAATGACATATTAAATTAAAGATATGGATAAGAATGCATTGGTCAATTTCCAATTTGGTCATGGTTTGATGATAGCTGACAGAGTCATCCCTCTTGAACTTTGAAAAAAAAATCAGAAATTTTAAGTTTCAGTTCATTATCTCCCCAATGGTTGTACACATTTAACTCAAATTTGACATATAGATACATCTTAGGAATAAGCAGTTCAAGTTTGAATTTGGTCGTGATTCAATGATTTTGGACAAAGTTATCTCCCTTGAATGTTAGAAAAGTTTTAAATTTTCAGTTTCAGCACTCATACTTTTGTGGAAATGTATGTAGCCATTAATTTGGCTAGAAATATGCAATATGCAATTTACAAAATGTTAACAATGAATAGTTTTAAGGGCTTTGAACTTAAAATGAAAAAAAATAATTTGTGCAAACAAATTTGGAACTAAATATTATAACATCTGAAATTTTGGCTACATGCGGGGGCATCAGTGGCGTGACGACACATTTCTAGTTCTGTATGAAGAAGATTATGGTAAAAGTTAAGTATGAATATTTTATAAGTCATTTTAGATTATAAGGACAGGACTGGATTTTTTTCATTTTTCGTGATTTTATGCCATGTCTATGATGTAAATCTTTACTTATAACTAATGTGCAAAATTTCAGATTTTTCAATAGGTGCAAACTAACGTTAAATCAAAAAGCTTAGAATCGTACTAAATATCGATTTTCTAATTGATTCTGAGTATATCCTTCTCATATCTTTATTATAAGTGCTCGGTTTGTTTTATGTACACTTTTCAAATTTTATGTTTTATGCTTTCGGACCTCAGTGAAGTTCCTTTAACTGGAGTTCAAATCATTTAATCGAAACATACCTTCAAGTTAGCCTGGTCAAGTGAATTTAAATGATATATAAGCAGGTAAATATTATCCTATTCAATTTGCCACAACTTCCGTCAAAAACAATGTTGAGCGTATAGAGAATATAATTTTCTGCATTAGCTCTAACTATTCATATACATGTGTACTCTTAAATTATGACACTTATCCACGTGATTGTGGATGGTTCGGTATGTAATGCAAAACATAACACTGTCAACGTAAACTAGGTTTTTTTTTTTCATCGAAGCAATAACATTTTGTTATATGAAAACTTCAGAAAACAGCAAAACAACATCTTTAAGAACTTCCAAAGACTTGTGTAGATTATTGCAATTTGCACCCATTTAAATAGTCGTTCAGTGAAGATTTCTCAGTCCTCCGGCTTTAAAAGCTAGCATTGCAAGTATCAATGTTCCAACAGCATATGCTCCAACTGCACCGAAATTCCGTGCAAGATGGTCATCGGCTCCAGGATAGTATGCGTCGATATATAAATTACCATTTGGAATACAAACTGCAGTCTCTGTTCATGTTATGAAAAATAAATGATTACAACATAATAATTTAGATGTCATATGTATTAATGAATCTTATGAATGTTAGCCACTTGTTATGCTTCTTTAATTTTCTTTATGACAACGCAGTATTCTTAATTAAATTGTCATTAATATGCATAGAAGTAGATCGTATGGAATGGGCAGCTGATATAAATTAATGCAGCTAGGAATTTTTATAAAGTGTTGTAACATTAATGTCTTTGTAGCATAATGTAATAATACTACAAGAACAAGAACAATGAGATTACTTATTTAGATAAAACCTAAAAATCATGGAAGTCAGAGATAGATTGAACATATTTATGACCGTGGAAAGGTCAATATTACTCATGACCCTTATGCAATTATCGTTATTATGTGCCTCACATTCAGGTATTGAAAAGACTCACCATTTAAATTACAATCAAGTTCTAGATCACGAAATTCGTTGGCAACTAGAATTTCACCATTGTATTTATGTAGCAGAATCCAACTCAACCACTTGAAAGGTTTAATTAAAGACGCGGTGTTCCTGAAGATAAACACAGAATCATTTTTACAGAAAGTAACATTTTTTCTACATGTTCAGATATTTTCTTCAAACAAGTTACTTGGGGCATTCTTTTTTATATTTAAGGCAGATTTATACACTAACTGTAAACATTTTTCTAATATTAACGGTTTGTCAATCACCATTATAACATTTAATCTTTTAAAACAAATATTCAGTTTAGCTCAACTTGACAATGAAAAGAAATTAGCATAATGTCACTTAAAACAATACAGTCCATTGTACAACATGGATGGAAAAAAATATAATTACTTTAGAAATCCCGATGCAATAACTACTGTTGCTGCCTGCAGCAACGCAGATACACTGTTAGCCAAATTGGCATTCATAAATATCCCTAGACAAGCTATCGTCAGCATTTCTCCCCAGTATTGTAGGATGAATACATCCAGGGTGTACAGAGCAAATCTGTCAAATCCCGGATGCATGCCTGTTACCCTGTATTGAGAGAGAAAATTAAAATAATTCTGTGCCGAATATGACTTATTAATTACATTTAACTATTACTGTGATTTACTTTCGTATTAAATGTTACATTAAAAACATGATGAAAAAGAAATTCTTCTATAGATTATTATATCTTTTTAAGTGCATGTATGATATTGTCTTTGTATATTTATAACTGAGTCTCCATTATGTAAACAAAACTTAAAAAACATCAAAGGATAAATACCAGTAAACGATACTGCTGAAAATGATGCTTGATACAATGTGGAATGGTATTATATGAATGGTATACGCCAATAAGAAAGTGATTATTCCATATAACCCGTCACGACTTTCCCGGTAATAAAGGTTCCGCAAACATGAAACTGAAAAGTAATTTTATATGCAGTGAAATGATCTGATCGACTAGAATACTAATTAGTGGTGACACTTACAAAGTTGTTCTGTAAGCTAACGACATAATTTGACAATATCACAATAATGGGGAAGTAACTGGATCCGAAATATAAACAAGATTTGAACTAGTATGATCCCTTTATGAAATACAATAAGTAATACTGAAAGACTATCACATTAAAAAAAGCTATCGCTATGCAGATAAAAGACTCTCAATGACAAAGTATATTTTGTCTTTGTCCTACTTTTTCGTCCAATGAGAAGACCTAAATTTAAAAATTTCTGAGCGTCTATTTTCCAAAACTGTCACCAATAGCGTTGCGTGTTTCTGGGTTAAAAACGCGCGAAATATGAACAGTACGCCAACAATTGAAACGGTAGACGCTTATAATAAAAAATGTATAAAACAGCCATCTACTAAGTCGCTCCCTGTGAGCTGTTTAAATTGTTGTTTTTTTTTATTAGCGTCAAACTTTTTAAAAATTTATTCATAGGAACAATGGTATATTTACATAGTGCTATACTGTTTATTATTCCCATGAATGGTGGTACCGTAGACGACTGATACAATAAGCCAACACGGTCCTGAATGCTTGACTGGGTGTGTTTCAATCGTCCAAGAAAGATTAAAATGAAAACAACAAAGAGTGGCAACAGAAACAGTCTTGCAAAATAGTCCTTTCTGTCCCGAAATAGATTTGTGTTCATTCGACTGAAGAATAAGAAAGAGAAATTACTTAGTATCCAAAGTGTTCAGATATAAGATTGATGTTACCAACAGATAAACAGAGAAGATATTTCTTCTTGATACTTCTGCAACATATCAGCATAGTAATATTGAGTGCTGTTAAATCAATGATAAATAAGATATATGATATATCAGTTTTACATTATATTGTTTTTACACACGTATTTAGATTTTAAATGTCCAGAGCTGCCAAAAGACGCTGTCTGCTTGTACTTCTTTGAGAAAACATAAAACTTTTTAAATATAAAAGTATTAATTTATAAAATGATTTCTTTTTTCTCCATACTGTAACTTTTATATCTTAATGCATGACGTATAAATTGGTAAGACTACCTCTTAAATATGGATTGAAAATATCTCATTAATTAACAATATAAAGACATCTGATTGCTAAGAATACTGACATGTAGTAAAGTTATAATTGTAGCTCAAAAGAACCCAAGATTGTATATGCTTTCTACCTGAGGAGCGTCACTAATACTCTAAAATAGCCCGGGCCCTTTTGTTTCTTGATACCATAACTTGAGCTTGCCGAAACAGGTCTTGAAGACTCATTTCTGATGTTTTGTACCGTAGTAAGATGCAATGCTGAGTTCTGGAAAGCTTCAACCAGACTAGAAACACGTTTCGTACTTTCATGTTCTTTTTCTTTATCTCTTCTATCTATACTTGCCACATCAACTGTATGATCATATTCACCAATACAATAATATAATCTGTACTATGTTAATATACATTTTAATACAAGCTTGATGCTGTTTTAAAATAGAAGATACATTTTAATCTAGATATATAAATATTTTTAATTCATTTTATGTGTAAGAATATTCGTATATTTGTAATAGCCGATAAAAGGGCGTGCATAATGGTATATATCATTAAATTCCAAAGCAAACTTTAGCAGTCATACTGTTATTGATTTGAGATATATCCAAATATTTGGCATATAATTTCTCTTTAACTTACCATATCTGTCTAAGGGGTTTGTATATCTATCACAAGGATAACCAAGGGCTGTGAAATAAGGAACCATCTCTTTGGCAGGTCCACAATACACCATCTGTCCCTTTGACATGATTCCAATCTGATCAAACATGTGAAAGATATCTGAACTAGGTTGGTGGATTGTTAACAAGACAACTTTACCCTGTAGAGCTAAATCACGGAGATTTGTGACCAGGTAGCGAGCTGTGTAGCTGTCTAGACCAGAGGTTGGTTCGTCAAGGAGTATCATGTCTGTAACAGAAGGCTTATAATTATACAGAAGAAACAGAAGATGTTTTATTTTTTCTAATTTATCTAAATTTATTATCTACAGGGAATCTTCCATTTTTTATATTGATGACAATTAAGATAGTATAGGGAGAGCTAAGTTCGTGGAATGAAGCTCTGAACAACATCCAACCTCGTTGCAACTATGTAAAGACCTCATAGCCGTCTTATTCATAGAAAAAAATATGTCGGCAGGTTATGACCTAACAATGCAGTAAAGCCGGTTTGAGCAATTATCATACCTTGGACAAAATCAAAGAATTTTGTTTCTAAAATAGCGGATAGCAATGGAATTATTTTTAATGACAAAAAGTTTGTAACAAAACCTCAAACATTTACGTACATATAAATATTTTCTCGGAGAATTGTACAATACAAAATTATTTACCTGGATCTTTAAGTAACTGTATTGCTATGGTAACTCGTCTTTGCTCTCCTCCTGAGATTCCACGGATGATACTACTTCCTATCCTTGAGTCAGCAACATCTTTCAAACCCATTTGAATAATTACTTGTGATACCTGTAAATAAAAAACGTGTTCTTGAATTGTATCGTCGCAAGAAGATAAAATCCACTCCACGTATGTAAACAGCCTTTCTGAGAGTCTTATGACCAAATAAGGTTTATTTTTTATTTTGGTATTTTGTGACATCCCTAATTATATATTCAGTTTACTCTTTTATGTAATTATTTGCGCCTATTCTCCAATAACCCATAGATTATATAAGTTACCTTTTGAGTTATTTGATGAGACAGGACTATTTTGCAAGTTAAATATGTGTATGCATTCCACATATATTTGTTTCCTCAGAGAATCTAATGCATTGTATAGAGTGTTAAAGCTGTTAAACATGTTTGAGATATGTTAAAATTTCATAGACTATAACCTAAACTTATACAATTACACTTCTTTATTTTTGTCTGTAAATTGTCTTCAACATACATTTACACCGTACTAATTTCTTTAAAGACACAAATAAAACCGTTTTCGGTCCAATTAATGGCGATTTGATGCCGTCCTGCATCGCTTCTGGTCGGATGTGTGCCTTATACTGACTAAGATTTGTTGTAATATTTCTAATCGTTTAAGATAAATAATAATGTTCAACTTGATAACTTGATGAGATTATAGTCTGCGTTGTTTTGAACTATCCTCTTATCAAAATGTTTGAAATAAAGAAGTAAAAATGAAGATGTAACATAATTATAAACTGAAAAATTGAAATGATTTGTTCACAAGGTACTATGAATAGTTTATCACATTTTTTAAACTACACACACATTTCCGACAATCAAAATATGGAAACACCTAATTTAGTTTGTGAAAAACAAACATTCCTGAACTCCAAGTTAGTGAAGTATTATTCTAATTTAACCATTCCTTAAGTAATTCTTGTACGTTTGTTATCATAAAAACATAAACATACATTAGCAAGATTGAACTGGATTAAATATAATCATAATCATTGGTTGTTTTGGTTTACCTGTTTGTCTATCTCTTTTGATGTTTTGTTTCCCGGTAATTTTAGTCGGGCAGTGTAGCGTAATGTTTCTCGTACTGTAAGATTCGGTAACAAACGATCAGCTTGCATGACGTAGGTAGCACGCTGCTGGATGACGTCACGGGTACATTTAACGTTGTTGAAACATACATTACCGACAACCGAGCCAGATGATCTGCACGATATAATATCCAAAAGCGAAGTCTTTCCTGACCCTGAAAGTTAATACCAAAATACACATGATTGTAATTGTTATGATATCTTCTACATTCACGTCTTGAATATATGTAATTATTTAAGTCGATATTTAAGAAAGTTTGTTCCTTTTAAAAATAAATCGTCATAGAGAATTATTATGTTTGTCCTATATTTATTATGTACTTAATGGTACAATGATAGATTGAGTACCATTCAGACATTTCACTTTAGTATTAGGTCTTACAGCTACATACCCGAATTTCCTAGAATCGCTGTTATTTCTCCAGATTTGACCTGTAATGAAATGTTTTGAAGAACAGTTTTTCGTCGCGTTTTTCTGAAACATGCTCCATTCCACCATGGCCCAACATATTCCCTTACAACATAAGTCACATCAGATATATTTAGCGTAGAAGGTGACTCTTCTGGGGATAACGATACTTCAGAAAAGTCATTCACAGGTGAAACTTTATTCGATTTAGGATTAAAGCTCAAGCTATGTGTATTTTGAAATGTTGTCTCGCTAGTGTATGAAATAGATCCATAAGTGTTTCCTTGTCCGTTTGTGTTCAGTCGTAAATCCATGTTCCTTTTTACCTCCCTTAAAGTTGTCAAACTGTGAAGTGCCTTTAACAGAATCAATCGATGATCCTAAATTCTATTTTAGGGTATTTATATGAAATGACCTTCATTTTGTCTATCTTGTTTACATTTTTGTTTTAAATTACGATATGCGATAACGCTTGAACCTATTCTACTTAATGTACACGGAGATAACAGTTCGTACAAATGTACTCTATTTGAAATATATCAGTCAAACGATTTAGGATAAGAAGGTAGGACATCCTAAATAAAACCTTTGACAACTGTGGCAGAGATTCTTTATCTTAGTCGTCTAGAGCGTTTTGTTCCTGTAGTTTTGAGTTCCAACTCCATAGAAAACACAATTTCTCGTTAGATACATAAGTACCTGTGAGTTTAACAATTTGATATATTATTTCAAGCTTTACCCACTCCTTGATATTGTTTTAAAATGGGAGAGTATCTTTATCTTTAAGACATATCTTATACTTATTACAAACATAAAGATAGGGCGCGTGGTTATTAAAGGTACTAATTGCGATTACTGTATATATTTTCCAACTAGTGAAAAATGCATTTGACAATTGAATCTTTGGCTTTCTGATACCTTTGCATCTTTCTGCTACGAATTTCTAAATGTTGATTAGAGGTCTTGTGCATTTCTACACCAAGTATGCATCTATTGATTGTGGTTTGACCTTTATTATAATCACTGACTTAAAATATTCTCCTAGTATTTAATTAAGTTAGCTGTCCTGGATCTGTTGCGTAGGCATTCATGTGACTTGTCATTGAAGTATCAACACTCATTTTATCATATGTAATGATGGGACATCAGATAACTAATGAATTGTTGTCTGGCTACTGACTGGTTGTCTGATATAAAATCACAGTCATCAATGTTTTAATGATGTATACACTGATAATTATCTAATATAGCATATTGAGATAGAGGTAAAATGATGTATCGTACTAGAGTTTAAGAGTGGACTGGCAAGATTTTTGCACGGTCAATAATATTTGCTTTGCTGTACTTGATTTAATTAGTTTATCGCAATCTTTGTCTAGACAATATGAAATTATGATAGAAATGATATTGTACACCAACCTGTCATAACCGGGACACTCTATAATTGGTACACTTAAGTCATAAAAGCATATTAAAAGCGATTGTTATACTTATAATGTACTCCTTTTGTATGCTTTGTTTTGTTCATGAAATTGCCAGTAAGTAACAAAGCATGTTCTCTGTCTTAAATCAAGAACGTCATGAAACGAGAATTCGAATATCCAATCGAAGTCGGATTTTTCTTTTGGAAATTTTGCTTTCTTGTCATAATTTTGCAGCCATCATTGGCCATTTTGCCTTTTGTAAGGGTTCAATAAGAACAATTTATTTATACTCTTATCCATTTCAGATTTAGCTTAGGTTTGGGTTTTTTGAGGATATGAATGCTTATTTAAACATATCAATTGGAAATAAAATTTATATTTTAAACTCTTTTTTTTATTCATCTTTTGGACAAAAAAATAGCAACAAAATCACATTATTTATACAAGTTATTCATACAAAAATGAATCTTTGGTAGTACATATATAAGAAATCAATTTACTTTGCACTACATAAAGAAAGTCATTAAAACCATGGCAACAACGCAAGGTTTCCTTCTCGTTTCCTTAAGTAGCATGCGAAAGGGAATTCAAAAAAGATTTTCAACAACAAATAATAAGATAAAGTAATTGCCTTAAAGGTATGAATTTCATTATAGTACGAACAAAACACATTAATTCACTTATAAATCAATGTTAGCTTAAGAAATTGTTTTCACTCTCAAAGAGATGTTTTAAAAACTTGATTCTTTGGAGACCGAGTCAGTTTGTTTCGTATTAAATTGTTCACGATTATCTATGCAATTACAATAATAAAATAGCACAAATATACAACAAAATATCAGGCAACTGCAGGGGAAAAGTACATTCAAGTCAACCGAACTATTAAGTTTTGATTAAGTTGTTTTAACTTTGATATGCAGGCATACACTTCAATGTAACTCAATGCTTTCCTGGCAGCCGAATATTTTGAAAAGCTATATAAAAACAACATTTAATGAATAAAAGAATATCACAGTCACCTTATGTAATACTTCAAAACACTATCAAAACACAAATGTTCCTATAACAAAGGTTCACTATAGCTTAAATTAGCTTAAATTAGTTTAAAGTTATCAGTTGCAAATACAGAACATCACAACAGCGATGTCATTTGCCATAAAAATATCTGAGATATTTTAAACAAGAAAGTATATTTTATTTCACGAGTCAATGATAATCTTCACTGTTCATTGCGCCCAACTGTACATTATATTCATCAACAGTAACTCAACTCAAGTTCGGTATTCCACGTAACTTGAATACCACTATGACACATATAAACGTGGCAGTTGTAAATCCTCCTACAGCCCAGAAATTACGTGTCAAATTGTCAACAGCTTCCGGATACACTAATTTCAAAAACGTGTCACCGTTAGGGAAACAAAATGTGCCTGAAAATAATTAAAATGAGACAGTGACTTAAAGTACAAGAATATGATGATTTACTGTATACATTTCTTTTGTAACAAAACATGAGACATTTGAGTCTAAAAGTCTAAGTCTAAATTGCACCTATTATTTCTTTGCAATACTACATGTTTTTGTATTGATTTGAAAAAAGCAAGTCTTAAGAATAATCATTAAAAAATATTGTATCCATCAACAAATCTTTTTCTATTACATATTTTTGCAACACTTTCAAAGCATAATTAAAACATATATAGATGAACAAAGTCTACTTCTAGATACTTATACTAAATTGAATTTATAAAGAAATAATCAGGTTATCTTTTACAATTTGACAAGACTTATCTCACCATTTTTACCACACGAGAGATCCAAATCATGGAATTCGTTTGCTGCAAGAATTTCTCCGGCGTACTTGAAGATATTCCCCCAAGCTATCCATTGAAAGATTGGTATCATTTTGTCCAAATTTCTAAAATGAAGGACAGAATAATAGTTATTTACTACTGACTCATTAAAAACGTTATTGGTATTCGATAATAGTCGTCAAAGTATCTTAAATGAACGACAATCCGACCAATCTGTATATAATAATAAAATATAAGAATGGTAGATATTGAGTTTGTCCATATACGAGTGTACATGTATCTTGTAATGAATTCAGGCAGTAAAATAAACAGATAATTGTGAATGCAACATTACAAAATATTTTATTTCAACTGATGAACAACATATTTATATCATTAATATCGTCTTTTTTATCGTAGCATGTTCATATGATTTTAAAATTACAAATTCGTACATTTGGCAGAAATATTGCAGAAAAAAGCTTCAAACATAAACACCTTAAGAATCCTGACGCCATCAGTCCTGAAGCAGACAATATCAAACCGGAAGTGCTTGTTGCCAAGACAGGGTTCATGAAAGCACCCATCACTAGCACACACATTATTTCACCGAAGAAGTTCAGGAAGAATATTAGAGAAGAGAAGTGTATAAACTTTTCTGTCAATGGCTGTAGTCCAGTAACCCTGAAAACATAATAATGTGATAACATTTTAATGTCGATTAGAATGTTGGTGTTAAAGCGCTTGAAGAACTCACAAATGATTCATTCACTTCAACAGAATCGTAATATTAATTAGTTAAACATGCTCAATATATGTATATAAAAAGAATAAGAAAAAAATTGTATAACAGTGGCTACTATTCACAGATTATATAATACATGTGTTATCATGGCCGTTCACAATATCATTTATTTTATACTCCGCTGATAATTTGAGTACAATGCTTCAATTTTCATCAATTATATAGCATTAATGATAACAATCCATCATAATTTCTGTTTACAAATCTGTAATAAATTTCAAAAGTTTATCATGGTGAGTATACAGAGTGAGCTTTTTATGTCAGATTGAATTCCACGTTAATAAGGCTCTAATTGCAAAGTAAAGCAGCTTAATTGTAAATCTGATCAGCTTAGACCAGGAGGAAAATATGCCACCACAGAACCTCGTACACAGAGCTTGACAATGTTCATGAAAAAAACAACCAATTTAATGTAATATTAAGACTTGGTTATCCTGTTATTGCATAAACCACTTTGTTAGAGAATTTAGTGTGGGCTATCTCTCCCAAGTGCTTTCAAATACGATATACAGCATTTTAAGCCGGTATGTTCAGTTGCATATTATGGAGATGGACAATCAAACATAAAGGCTCACTTATGTTGATGTATCATCAGCTTACCAGTATACGACACTAGAGAATATTCCTGAGCTGACAATTGTGAACGGCATGATGTGCATCACATATGCTAACAGGAACGTTGTCGGCGAGTACAGACCATCAGAACACTCCCTGTAGTATAAATCTCTCAACGGCGGAACTGGAATATAGTATCATGCCTCATTGTAATATTAAGGACTAAAATCTATAGACAAATAACCTTAGTACGGTCGTGTCTTAAAGGACTAAATGATGCATTTGAATATATTGTAGAGCTTTAAATGGTAACAGATTACGGTACAGATTTTTTACCTTTAAACACCAATGATAAGAGATATAATTGTACGTAGAAAGCCATACTAAGTCCAACAACATTATATATTATGGGCTCCAATATTAATAGTACAAAATGGTGATAATACAGACATTTGAATAAAACAGGTAAGCATTAAGTGTATGATAAATGTTAAAACTTACATAACCCTGCCGCGTTTAAAGCGGCGACGTATGGCGGGACTTGTGAACTTTGGTACAATAAACCAATCCTATCTTGTACACTGGTCTGGTTCCGTCCAAGATGACCAAGGAATACGCATATAAACGGGACAAACAATGACAGCATGAATATTCTAGATAGGTAACTCGTTCTGTCCCGGAATACATTCATTGTCATCCGCCTACAATGTATAGTAAAACGATTTAGTTGGAACAGTACCAATATACGCTTGCAGAAATCATGATCACAAAGTAGAAAAATAACGCTTGTTTTCGCCGATTCTTACATTTTTCAGTTTTTATCGTAAATGAATCTGTGTGAAAGGATTAATTGGATGTTTTAAAGCTCATTCCGTTGGGTTAAAAGGCGAGATTTTAGAATTTAATCATTCAAGCGACTTGTCCGTTATATCGGAATACAGTATTTAGTGTGATGCTCGTCTCACTGATATGTAACAAGATATATTCTACCAACAGTTACCATGTACTCGTACATTAAATGTGTATAAGTGGGTATAATGTTTGTATTTAGTGAATTTAACAGATGTTGATTTTGTCTCCTTAGTAGTAAGTGGAAACATATTTTGAATATTTCTGAGAAATTAAAACCGGATCCTTATGTAATTAAAACCGGATCCTTGTGTAATTAAAGCAGGAACTGAAATGAAATTGAGACCGGAACTTGATTATATATTTCCACTTAGGTAATATTTCATCCTGATTACGCTCTATGAAGAGAGAGGCGATTACTGAAGATGAGGATGATTATATATTGAGAAATACTTTGGCAAAATGACTTTTGAAACATATTAAACCATAGTTTATTTTCTGTTTATTTAGTATTTGTTCTTCTCACCCTCTGGATATGAACGGGCGAATATTTTGACGTACATAATTATTAAGTAAATAACATGCTTCATGAATTATATGTGTACTGAAAATACGTTTAAAAACAGCTCTGAATAAAACAAAACAAAAATCCAACAAACCCTAGTAAAGTATATAATGTTCTGAAGAAGCCGGATTTCTGTGGTCTGTAGTAAGTTATTTTCTGTGTGAAGAGTTGTCTGCCCGTGGTAGGTTTCATAGTATCCTCGATTATCTGGTAGACGACATCTTTGTGCATGGTGGAGTTGCTGTATGATGTAGCAAGTTCTTTAACTCTTTCAGACGACTCTTCTTGTCGTCCATTGTCACGTCTATCCACGCTTGCCAAATCAACTAAATATAAAAAATAAAATCATAACATCTGGCTTATTCATATTGTCAGTAATTTAAGAAGCAAAGTACAAAAAGTCTATTTTTGATGATATTTTACCGAATCATTGTTTAAGTACTTAAATCCATTGTAAATAAGTCACTAAAAGCATTAAAAACATATTGTTGTATTTCATTGAAAGCATAAAGAAGTCATATACCAAAATAGTCGGATGGATTTGTGTATGTAGGACACTGGTACCCGAGCTCGCTGAAGTAGGGAACCATTTTATCTGCGGGTCCAAAATAAACCATTTGTCCTCGGGATAATAAAGCAACCTGTAATAAATTATAAAGAATATCATTTTCTCTTCGTTTTCAAAGGTACGCACATCTCGACAAATAAGGAAAAACTTGTGATGTGTTTTTTTTATAAATACAAAGTAACAAAATAGCAGTAAAATACAATAGGTAGATGCTATTTTAAGAGATAATTCAAACCATCTAGTAAAGTAAAAATATTAGCCATAATCTGTATAGAAATTCATAACAAATGATTACTGAATATATAAAGAAAATGAGCTATTTATTCATCCTTGTTTGTTTACATTTGTGAGATTTTGTAAAGAACTTAAATATTTATGTTCCAAATTAGATGTTTTAAAAAAAGAATTAAATAATAGAGGATATTTCGAGATCGTGTGAATTGTAAACAAATTTTATCTTGTAGAATCTAAGCTGGAATAAGGAATGGCATTGTACAACAAATAAATGTAAAATCTAAAATATTTAATTTGACTTTCCTTGTTCAGATTATTGAATTGGCGACAATATCAACAAACTGTGTCTTTATTAAAGTGACATTATGCCAATCCAAGTATAAGTGGTGAGTATACATTCAAGTCAAAATAACTTTATATGTGGCCATAATTGTTTTCTTTTATATACATGTATTCTGATTCGAAAAAAATAATCAACAATTAAAATAGTATTTTTTTTAAATATATACAATGTAGCTTATTTCGCTGAAAGCGTTATCGTGCTCATTTTTTTCATTGTCACGCTGAATTAAGAAAAAATATATACCAAACAGTGATTTTATCTCTCAATAACATCACTGTTTGGAGTTCGGATGTGACGAAATTTTATGACGAGGGCGTAGCTCGAGTGATATAATGATGCGCATCCTAATGTTATCAAGCGATAAAATCACCGAAATAGGTCTTGCCACTTTTTGGCTGTTAACGTGTAATTTGTCTACCCGAAATAAATGCAAGGCATGTTACAATCATTGTATTAAAATATAATGATCACTTACTAAATTCTTATAGTGTTTCATAGTAATGTTCTTTTGCTTTGCTCAAAACATCACCATTAGGTAAAAAAAATATGTTTTTCTGTGGCTTACCTGATCAAACAGTTTAAATATTTCAGATCTTGGCTGGTGAATTGTTAGAAGCACTATTTTCTTGCTGTTGTGGGCTAGGTCTGCCAGAGAGGAAATCAAACTTCTCGCCGTGAACGAATCTAAACCGGAAGTTGGTTCATCCAGAAGCAATATTTCTAGAAAATGTTGTTTATCATTAGTAAGTAGTCAAAGAAAACATGAAATCTATCTTGAACAGGTCCGCGTGAAAACAAGTCTTAATATTAAAGCAAACTTTTTTATAAAAAAAAGAAAACAAAAGAAACATAATAGAGGCATTTTAAATTAGATGTTGTTGTTGTCGTCGTTGTTGTTGTTGTTGTATGTTTAAATTGGCAAGACAATATTTGACTATCTATAAATAAAAGGACTGTATTTCATAAGTTGAACATTCTTATTAAATATTGATTACCCAATCCCTTTTCAGGTATACAACGAATCAAATGTCGCAATATCTTAGAAATAGCTGAATAAAATTACGCATATTATGAGCAAAAATCTTATAATCATAAGGCACAATATTAATCTAATGACCATATATGCATTGAAGATAAAATTAAATCACTTGTTAATTAATATGATATATCTAATTTCATTATAATGTAAGAGGCTAAATCCGTACTAAGAATATGTTCGGTTATTTTCATCTCAATTTCATGACATTTGAATAACGAAGTCTTAAAATATCCACAAATGATTTACCATACATAGACAGAAACAGGATATTGTTATTTTTTTTCAAATTAAAAGATCAGGTGGCAGAATTAAAATAACGTAGCTTTTAATTGGCGACATAAACATACTGTGAATTTGTATGCAAACAAAAACCCGTTCGTACATTTATGATATAGACCTTTTTACTCTACGATATTCCATAGAAACGGAAGTAGCATTTCGCGCATGCGCATTCTGCATATGGCAAAAAAAAATCGCATAAGGTAAGAAAAGATCAGTATTTAACAACTTCATTTACAATTTGATTTAATCTAAATGATTAATCATACATTTAGGATATTTATTTTGGTTAATTACCGATGTAAAAGTGAATCTAAGTAATTGGCTTGAGCGTTTCTGCATTTACGCATTAATTCAGGGTCTTTCATATTCGATTCTGACAAAGTACCTTCGTATACAAGCATAAGAATTTAACCATCTCTTGCAATTAAGTGTGCTGAAATACGTTATTTGGATATATCGTCCTTTAAAATACTCGTTAAAGGTGTCATTAAAATATGCTGACTAACTAATTCGGTGATTCAAAAGCGCATACAAAAGTCCTGGTAAAATTTAATAATTTTACATATACCTATTTTATTAAGGTTTGGAATTATTTTTGTGATGTGACAAATAGTGTGGGATGCATTTACCTAGATTTTGAAAATGTGTGAAAATAAACTGGTTAAAATGTGTTTTGCTACGCTATCTGGTAAATGGCCTAAACTTCTAAAGATTTTGTAGATTTGCTTAAACATGTATATGTGACTTTTTGGCATCGCTGTATAAATCGGGTGAAGAATAAAATAAGGTAATCTGAATACTAGAAACATTTTCATGAACTTACATTATCATATGTTCTGACTTTTTTTCAGAATGATAATTAACTTCGATTTCATAGGCTATATAAATATCTTACTTGGATTATTTCATGAAGTATAATGTAGATCTTTTTTCTTGATAAAAATCTATTTCCACATTTTTACAACAATTATTTCAATGATTTTCAAGTCCGGCGTGGTCGCAAAGGGCTTTCCATGGATATCCTGTTATAGCACTCTTGGCTACTAAGCTGTAAAGGCATCTTTTTCTTTTTGTATTTAAGTTATTTAATATTTTTTAATTTTAACCGACAATGTATTTAGAATTGTCTGTGAACTTCTACTGCATTTCCAGGTAGGGCGATGATATTTTGCCCATCAAAGATTGCGCATGCGTGAGAAAATACTACATCCGGTCGATTTTTAATAGCAACAGACCGCGTCGTAAAAAGGTCTATAAAATGTGCATATTAATCATCTTTGAATACTTAAAGAGATATAATTAGATATAATGTGAACAGAACTGAACAGATATGCGCTGATCAACTTATCAGTTTATTTCCATTAATGATTTTACTCAACGCTCGGAGTAGCAAGACGAACATTTTGCCCCTTGAGGAAAGATGTAAACACCAACATACTTGGATTCTGTAATAACTGTATAGCAACTGTGACGCGTCTCTTTTCTCCCCCGGAAATCCCCCTTATAATACTGCCCCCTATCCTTGAGTCGGCCACGTTTTTCAGTCCCATCTCTATAATCACCTTACTGACCTTGAAAACAGACGACAATTAAATAAATACTGACCTAATTAAGCATACATACGTCAGTACAGTCAATGAATATTTAATACATGAATAACAAAATTCTTACAAATCTAATTTTCCTAATGAACTTTTATGAATTATAGATTATTCTGGGCAAGTATACTGTATTAACGAATAAAAAAAGATAAACATATAAGGTGATATAAATCCCATTTGGTATAAATGTTCATGTTTAATATTATTGCATTTCATATTGATTCAAAACTTTCAAATTGATTCAAAACTATTAAGTTTTAAAGGGACTTCACTGAGGTTTTTTGACATGACGGAACTGGAAATAATTCACCGAGATTAATGTCCGATTAGATTGAGGTCTATATAAGTAAAGTGTGTGCAAAATTTTAGATCATTCGCTCACTCTGCTTTTTTCAGAATAATTATTTCATTTGTGGAAAATGACCCAAATCGGACCAAGAAAGACTCAAAAATACGATTAACAATATTTTTCTGAGTACATTTCTTAAAAATCTTTTGCATATCTTTCTTTTTTTATTTCCCCCATTGATCTATGTAAAAAACAAACTCAAATGATACATATTTAAGCTGAACCTCAATGGAGTTCCTTAAATGATATGATATTATATATTTATATATAAATGAACATATTCATATATAAATGAACTTTACCTTTTCTTCGATGTCAAATTTTGAAGCGTTACCAGGCAACCGTAATTGTGCACTATATCGTAGAGTTTCTCTTACTGTAAGATTTGGTAACAATCTATCAGCCTGAAATAATAGAATACAAACACACTAAAATAGAGCATGTACCTAAAAGTTGTTCATGTACAGGCATGACAGTAACGGCTAACCAATAACTTTTGGGGAGTTCTTAGTCTGAGACAATTGCGTACAACTAAGACACGGCAAGACTGTGGTATTCTTATGCCATAGTTTTATCAAATCGATTTTTCATTCAGGAATTCTTTGATACTTCGAAGACATTGATTTTGAATGTTATTTGTTCCATTGTTGTTGAAACTTTTATGACCACTACGGAGATAAAATGTCTGAACAGTACAAGTTTAATATCTATTAACATCCTTACTATGGCAATTTTATTACAGAATCTAGCATCAGAGAATATTTCGCCCCTTGACCTTGCATTTGAAAGGCTTATTATTTATTAATTCATCTTTATGACTCATGAAGCAGACAAGATAGTATATATTTGTCTTTCATTTCTAACTTAGTTACTTGTATCGAGTTATAAAATCGAATAACAAATGCTACTAAAAGCTTTTTCTGAAAGAAAACATGAACGCCTAAAGGGAAACTAGCAGACGACGTCAGTAAATACCAATCGATTATTCTGTGAAACAGAGAATTTAATGTGCCCCTGTGGAGTTACATAAGCCATTGTCAGTATATAATATCCTTAAAGTCTGTATAGCAGTGTGCAGTTGTCCTACAGTATTATCCTTATTAAGTATTTAAGTGAGCGCATTGTTTTACTAACATAAAACGTGAATCAAAGTTTCTCCGGTAAATAAATTGAGTATTTTAAAGAACATATAATCATCAATATTCTAGTAGATCAAATAGCAAGGATGAGAAAGGATTAAAAGAGCATTGTTTAAAAAATATGACGATTTAATGTTTAAATATGATAGAATGCATTATGCACGGAAGGGCACTTGATGTCTTCCCCGACCAGTAAAGCTGGAAAGTCGCCATACGACCTTTACTGTGTTGATGCGACGGAAAAACTCAACCAAATAAAAAATTGACTGCATTATTGATTTGGAGAAATTTAAAATTTCTGATCTATATTCCCAGCAGAATCTTATCATTAATATTTTTGAATTCAGACGTTTAATGACTTTGTAGACATTAATAGAGAAATTACACTGACAAAAATGAAATAGGTAATTAATTTCAAAGAAAGTTTCCAGCGGCGAATTGAAATTATCTTCAAGGAAAGATAATATCTATTTCAAGTATAAAACAGAATGACTGTCTTGGTTGAGATAGACTTAATATAAATTTCTTAATTACAAATATTCGGTTTACAAATGTATATTTTATTATATATTTTTTCAACAACATATCTAAAAACCGTCAGATCAATTAAATCAAAACTCGTTATCTTTTGAATAATGGTTAATACCCGCGCAAGTTAGTCGTTCAATATTGTATGTTAAAATTTAAATGAGAAATAAAGACTAAAGGAACACTTTAAAAAAAGTCAAATTCAAGTAATTGGTTCCTTAAGACAGGTGGCTGTTTAATCAAAATATCACTATAATACCTGCATGACGTAGCTTGTAAATGTTTGAGCTATATCTTTTGTACACTCCATGTTGTTATAGTACACCTTTCCTGACACAGTACCATTAGCTCTCGATGCTATACAGTCTAACAATGATGTTTTACCTGAACCTAAATCATAACATATAAAACATATATCATTAGGTATATAAGAAGAAAACATTTTAAGCGTGTTTCAATTTTCATGGCACAAATTGCTATCGACATTCTGACGATAATAAACTAAGTGAAATGTCTCATCAGTCATTAATCAGTAAAATATTTTCATTTTACATGGTGAATCATTATGAGTGTTTTGTAATGAGCAAAGATTAAGGAAATTTGAGAAGGAAATCTTGACAGATTTGAGAAAAAAATAGAAATTGGAAAAGAAGAAATGTTTTCAACAAATAATATATGTATACCTGACCCGCCGAGAATCGCTGTTATTTGCCCAGATTTCATGTGCATGCTGGCATCTCTTAGCACCACCTTATGCTTGATCCTCCGAAAACACGCCCCTTTCCACCATGGTCCGATCCTTTCTTTGACCACGTATGATACATTAAGAACACTAAGGGTGGTCTCTGCCTCTTCGTCGTCGTCGTCCCAGTTACCAAATGTGCATCTCCCCAAAATATAATTTACCGGAATGTCAAACGCGCTTGTTGTAGTTTCCATGGTTACCTGCAATAAATAATGTAAATTTAACCTAGTTTTTTTCCGGAAATTAAGAACAAACCGGAGGGAAAATAACTGAAATTGAGACGACATTGTTGCAGCAAAAGTGTTTTAGGAAAATAGTGTTCGTAATTAATACAAGCGACTTGATTAAGAACAAGTAATGCAATTAAAATAGATCTAATGGAAAGCATGTAAGCTGTATTATACTACATATAGACATGTCACTTATAACCGACATAACACCATAAAGTCTGATAATATTCAATTCAAACTTTTATTGCAATTAAGTATGTAAATACTTATAGCAAATCAAAATGAAAGAAATATGCGTGAAATATATGTAAATCTATATTATGATTGTAACGCTATTTTGTAACTGGTGACCTGAAAATAAGATAAGTCTAATCCTCGCGACAGACAAATTAGTCGAGATGTCATCTACATATGTCGCCATTAACAAGAAGAAAACCCCTTGATTTCTGCATAAATTCTCACGAGTATATGTAGAGCAAACGTTTCCATTGATTTTAAAGAGGTGCCTAATACATATGCTACATTTAAAAAAAAAATTATCCCATGTGAGTTACGTTTTACTACAGTCGATAAGAATCGATTACATTCATGTGATTCATCCATTCCATTTTCTTGTCACATACATTTTTAAAGGTTGTTCGAATTTTGGTTAACTTAGAATAGCTTTATATGAATTAAAATCGTGTTCAGCCGCGGTATACATAATTTACTCTTTCACTTCAGTGTTTACCTAAAGGTAAAATACTGTTGACTTTTTAATGATCTATTGTGTTTTGTTTGTAGGGCAGAGGAACTAGTAGATGTCGGCTAGCAAAATGAATGAAGTTTAGAAAATCATTGCTAAAGAAGATAGGCATTTCAATTTGGATTTAATACTTTAGCATGATTTTTTTATATAGGAAGCAGAATAATGATAAGACAAAACAACAGTTTTATCAGCCTTGAGGGAAATAATCATTCAGCTATATATAATTCAGGCGGACGCTTCGGGTTTTCCTCATATAGTTTACTTTTATGATTAGGCTATTTTGAGCCATACTATTGATTTTTCCACACATCAGTTTGGGGGCAACTTTCATTATTACGCTTCTCCTTTTGATTGATTACTTGTCTCCCTGACCACTCCGTCTTGGCAACCTTAGTGATGGTTAGCAACTTACACCAATCATTAACATAATAACCACTATTAAATGTGAAACTATGAAGTTTGAAAATAATATGACATTTCTTAAATCAAAGTTTTGGTAGGAATATAATTCATTATTGTTTTCTTATCGAATTCCATTACTCTGTAATGAGACTAAACACAAGAACTTACTCGTTATCTTTGTGATAAGTTAAACACAATTATATAAGACAGACATTCCATTATGTTACTGATCAACCTCCGCAATATTTAAGAGAATCACTTGAGGGTATAAAGCTATATCTTAAAAAATACTGTTATAAAATTAATCAACACTACAAATATAATGTTTTAGTAATCTTATGGTTGATTCTTGAAAGAGTTTTAACACAGAAATGTCTCAGTTATTTAATATACACGAATATTACCGGAACAAAATGTTATTCTGCCACTTACGTATTCTTTTTCCGTTTAGCAATGATTTCGTTCCTGTGCCATTCGCTCATGTGCCATTCGCATGGCAAATTAACTGTCGTATTTTTTCTTTTCATACAAACAATTTTAAAGTATCCTTTATTAATTCAAACAATACGTTTTACAGCAGATATATAGCTTTATACACCTTAAAGCACATAAATATGTATCCACCCGCGTTATTATTTCAGACAGCAACAATAATACACTGACGTATTTATACATGAATCCCTTCTACAATATTATATCGAGAGATATTATGATTGTGTAATATTTAAGTCCATTCTCTAAAATCATAAGAAAGTACTCATCTATCTTTAAGCATTTATCTAACATACCTTCAACTATTTGAGATTTACTTCCGCGTGTTTAAGTCATTCAGTGTACACGTGACTTTTCATATCCATTCTTTTTATCACTGAACTCTTTTCCTCTTTGTTTCCTTAAAACACATGCTTGTAGCAAGCTGCAACTGTTTCAATATTCAAGTTTATATCAGTTTTAGAAGCGGTATGACATTGAACTTAAATCAATTATTGGAAAAATTGATAGCAAGCGTCTCGGTAACTTTGACTGCAGAATCTGGTAAAATATTCACAGGTATTGAACGTTTGTTAACAAAGAAAACCGTTATAACAAAACATGGTGATAATTGTGGTGAGAATATAAAGTTAACACGGGAACTTGTATCTGAAGTATGGTTAAGTGATAAAGGAAATACAGCAATGAAAGAAACAAAGTAAGTGCCCTTTTTTCCAATTACTGTTAAAATGCCTTCTTTGTTAATAGTTATAAAAATCTTATTAATTCCTTACACCGCGGGTTTTAATACACTTAGTAAGCGAAAAATTGTGTTTTATTGTCAAATATAACTATTTAAGAAAGATTTTATGAATGGTTTATTCACCAAAGGCTTTTAAATCAATACTTCACTTTAAAATATCCGGTTCAGCCGCGAGTGTTTTATGTCATATGTATTATGCTGATCTAAATAGTTATGGGTGAATGATTTTTTAAAAGCAGTACAGCTGTTTTTATGAAACATATAACATTTGATATAGGGAATGAATGTGGGTTACGTTTTGAGTATGCTTGACTGATGAATGTAAGTGACTTAAACAATAAACTTGCAGGTCCTACCTTAAAAGTGATTAAATGTAATCTATTTTTATGCGTGTTGATAAAATGGGGATCTTTTGAAAGAAGTGCACAGTCTGTGTTACGTGGATTTCTGTCACATTTTAGGTAATATTTTGAAATTTCTCAGCTGAAGTCGGTTTCATTAAACACTTGTGAATGTAGATAATTTTTCGTCTTTCGAAGATTTAAGTAATAGAAATGTATATAAAGAGCATCGAAACACGAGGCTATCTGATTTGTACGAGGGGGTACCCCCGAGTCGATGTTCTTTCTGTTTTGTATCATAGTTGAAAATAAAACACCTTCCCTGTTGTTACAATATGACACTCCAGAAAAAGGTAACCAATGAACGAGCATTTGAATATGATATTTATATCGCTTTCTCTTTCTCTGTCGTCACAATAAGTAAACCCTAGAAAAAATGAGCCAATCAATAGGCATGCTCTGGAGTGCGGGTAACTTATACCTGCACTCCAGTTAACGCACTGTACATGTATATTTATACGATTTAAATACAGAAAGGTCTCCAAACTATGATACAACATTCAATATACCTCATTTGTTAACCAATTGTTCTTTATCTGTTTAGTATACCATAAACAACATTTGGTTTTTTGGTATTTTAAGTGTTATTCAATAAAACAATAATATAAACTATCATTACTCGTGCAATCAATGTTAAGATGTTAAGTGATTATAACAGCTCTTTTTTCATCCATGATTTAATTCAGACAGAGAATGGCAGCATTGTATATATAAAACATGTGTGTTATGTGCACGAATATTTTCTATAATTTCTTGAAACTTCTGCTGCTATTCTCTAAATTATTTTCTGGTTTAAAATTCGATAAATTCTGCAAGTATTGGTGTAAATAGGAATACACATTACGCAAGTGTTATCTTAAGGTAGTGATATGTGAGAGGTAGCTGATGCTCATTACTTCAAGGTTTTTTTTTATTTTAGCTGATTAAGATAAAAAGTACACTATATGCTAATTCAAGATCTTAAAAAAAGTTAAAAAGGTATTTAATTTCTTAGTTTCACTTAATTAATAATGCGATTACTTGTGCCAGGTTTGAATGCTATGACGGTCTGTATGGAATGCCTGGTTAATATTACTGATAAAAGTTCGAAATAAGTGCCATTATATTCAGCTGTCGTTTAAATTATTAATTTCTAAGGTTCCAAGGTTCACCTCGCCTCGTTTGAAGTATGTTTATTTATTCATATATTTGTTCTGTTTCATAAATTATGTATACGAATTTGGCTATTTCATGTTTACTAAGTAGGTTTATTAGCCGACTCAGCATTTTATCACAGTCATAATTTTATTTAATTTACTAATAGTATTGTCTGACTATAAGTTTTATTAAGTTTACACTGTTTGTTTAACACATTTCATTTGTACTCTGTCTAGTTTTCATAAACCGACATACACACTCTTGTCAGATGGTTGGATTCTATTCCAGTACTTGTCAGCTGTGTGTTTATCTCTGCAAGTAACTGACAACTTCTTCGCATAGTTTTTTGGGACGAATGACACGAAAGACTTTTGAGTTCAGTTAATTTATCACAAAAAAACTACATGTTATGGCAAATTTTCCAATTTGCTAAATGCATGTATCATGTATCATGTTCATATTACATGATAATATATAACTATACTTATATCATCTATTACGAGCCTATAAAATTTATCATTTTCTTATTCATATCACAGAAGACCCCACAAAAGCAAGCAATGTGACAAATAAGTTCTACTTCTGATAAAACCTGAAATAATACATTCCAAAGATCGTAATTCATCAGGCGTCCTGGGGTCAAAGTCTGCAATACAGCTGACAGTTTTCAAAATGGAGGGTGACTCTGATGATGACGTCATTCCAGAGTCTGAGAGGACGCCGTTAAGACGCCGAGAAAGTAAGTAGACCTGTGACTATCAAATATTCGTTTTTTTACAGTTATAGCATTTTGCCGGTTCTCGTCAGTCAGTGTCTTAGTTAACGTAGCTTATCATTTAAATTTATCCACACTATTATAATTATTTATCAATATTAATATTTCACCCTTAAATATACGATAAATCCAATTTTTTTTCACCTTAATGAATTGATTACGACGAACACGTATCATCAAATTAGGTTTTCGAAATTCAACCCCGTCTACGAAATAAACTTACATATTCTTGTTTTTTTTCTAAAGCGAGTGGGTTTATCAAGAACATGTAAATGAAATACATCTTCGAGCTGAAAGTGATATTTGCACAGGAAACATGTTATATTAGTATTTTATTTCGCGAGTGGTATGATTTGCAAGTATTACCAGATGGAACTCTTTGTACATACCTACATATTTCACCTTTGAAGGATTTCTATGTTTACTTTCCACCTGTACAGAAACAATTTACTAAATACCCAGATTAGAAGTAATTTGTAGCTGCAATGTTTCGTCGAGTTAATTAAACGACCGAGGATTTATATATTTGTGAACGCATTATATTATCATCTAAATAATAACAATTGAAATACCCCGCCAACTTATATTCAATAAATAAAAATTAGAAATTAAGTACATTTATTTCTTCAATGAGTTTTATGGGTTTGGTTATGTATAGGTACTGATTTATCTGGTATTCAAAAAAAGTTGATATGCTTTTAAATTATGTCCTTTAAAAAAACCCCAATTAGCCTATTGTGAGGAAATATACCTTACCGCATAGGGAAAAATTCTTTCAATATGAACCAAGGACAAATAGAAAGATATAGAGCTATGAAGAACATTGTAGGACATTCATGATAAAAAAGTTTTTTGGTGTCAGTTCTTTTAAACTAATGTTTTCCCAAAATATTATGCGCGTGTAAGAATGAGAACGGTAGCACGAGTAAAGAAAACGAAATAAATAAAAAAAAACTCTGTTCTTTCTTTTCCTGTCTTTATTTTTTTAAGGAAGCAATATATTACCGAAAAGACCGTCTTCTTTAATATCTTGATATTTCTAACGATTTTTAAATAAATTTTAATTTTTACATTTAATTAAACACAAAACACGATAAGGACAAGCAACAACTCATTTCATCAACAGAATGCACAAACTATGTTAAGAAAGCTGCATTACTTATTAATGATCAAATTAATTTGGTCTTTTAATTGCCAGTTCTTTTAATGACACTATGTCTTTATACTGTATTTACCTATTGGGTGTAGAGTTTTTTAAAAATCGTAATATATCTTCACTGGTGTACTCAAAGATATGTTTATTTTACAAGAAACTGTATAGCAATTATCAGTATTTTCAAATATCAAATTTAAGCGCAATATATCTTTATTAAGTAAGCATTGTTTTCTAATTATTTTTGTTGATCAAATCATACTGTTGACGTCTGAAATCGATTATTGTACATGTCTTTAACAGCTTCGTCTCACAACTGTGTGAACTTTTGACAGTCTGAATGCTGTCGCAGCAAACTAAGACAAGAATAATAAAAAGTCTTTAACGAAACAACGAAACGAAATGTCACTTACATCTCTCTAAACCCGTATAATCCTTATTTAGCGAGCCTTAACTCCGTTGATTTCGTATAAAAATCACGATTTCCGCCGAGTAAGACGCATGATATCTCACATGGGAACTGAAATCTTCCAATCTTCCGCTTTATGATATCAAACCTGATTATACAGTCATAAAAACTGATCTAAATGTATCATACAAACTAAAAGTTCACAAAACTGGAATGTCAAACTGCATGAGACACAGCATCATTTCCTTACAAAGATTATTGATTCACAGAGTCTCGATCAATACATATTCCGTATCCCTCTCTGTAGCCATTTTACACATCGCTACATTTTCTAAATATTATGTTTTGCTCAATTTCCATGGAAACTGTGTCGCAAACTTGAGAGAAAGAAAGAAAAAAATGGATCTTATATCTTAGAAATTTCGTTGCATTATTGTATTATTTAATATATTATAGCTGCTATTGTAAGGGCGTGACAGTGCTTGTGTTTGTCTTTTAATGACTAAGAGACTGAGGTTGAAGGATTTCGAATAATTAGAAGACGATCGATGTTTAACTTACATCAGGATAACTACGACGAGCTTTCTGTTTTCCTATTCAAAAACATAATCATGTGAGTTTTGAAACGGTCATTTGAAATTATATTGCAAACTTCGTGACAATAATGGACAGATAGGATTTGGACATTCCTTGAAGTTCAATTACAATGTTAAATCTAGGTTTCCCGCTAAATGTTGGTAAGTAATGAAATAACAATATTCTTTCCTTTTTTACAAGATCTTCAACAGATTCAGGCGTAAACGTTTCCATGGTAACAATGTATTCTTAATAGAAGAACTAATCCATCATTTTGACTGTGGTGTAATAAACATGTACCGTCTTTAACTTAACAGAATTAAATATTTCAACAAGTCCTTTTTACGTAAATATTCTGTCGAAACTGCTATAGAGTGTCAGCTTGGTAACTTCTCAAGCCGACCGTAAAAGTGTAAAATGTAATATTAGTTTGAAGCTGGCACACTTTTATTTTCCACAAGTTTCATAAAATTCCTACACATGCTAATTGAGGCATAAGGTAGGAAGGCTTAATACATTTACCTTCAAAGATGACCTTGATCATAAGCCATGTACAATATCGTGTCAATATTGTTAAGAATTGGTCCCAATTTTTGAAAATATTTCTAAAATTGTAAGAGAAATAAAGCAACCTGAAGCACAGTCTTGCACTTTTGACCTTCAAGTGTTCCTTGACCTTACATCATGCTTATCTTCTTTATTTTGTTAAATCTCGCATACCTTCATAAAAATCCATCAAAAATACAAAAGATATTGATTGGATACGAAAATTGCACGTACTGACGGACACACGATAGAATCGCGGCTGAGCATTAATAAAATTAAGACGATAAAAATTTCGTTCCTCTTTTTATTACAATCAAATGCGATTTCATTATACTTAGCAATGAATATTGCATAATATACTCTCTAGAAATCACGTCGCAATGAGACTTTGATACGCTCAGTGAGTAAACTAATGACTGTAAACTAATGACTAATGTATCAAAGACAGTCTGTTATAATAACCAAGTACTTACGGAAATGTTCACAAGTAGAAATGTGAACTTCGGATACCGTACTTTAAACGTATTATTACTTTAACCTTTTTGTTCTTGAGAATTATTTATACACGCATGTGATATAGTTCAGAAATACATAAAAAATTATCATTACATATTAATCTATTAGTATATATTATTTTTATTTAGTCATAAAGTCACTTCACGTCAATGAAAATAAATGTTGTAATACATTTCAATATCGCATTTAAAATAAATTTGATTTCTCAAGCATATGACATATAGATGTATAGACTACATTTGAAAATGATATATTTATATATATATTCCTCTTTTTCCTGATATTGATCCTTCGTTACATAATTTCAATTTGTGAAATAGCATTCCGGGAAAATAAACTTATGAACCACTTATTTAATATAATGTATTTTAGATAAAAAATCACTCTAAATCTGTCACATTATGTAGTTATTGATTTGCGTTTACTTGCACATTTTTAATGGTTAAATTAACATGTGCTGTTTAAGCTTTTAAATATTATGTGATACTTAAGATTTATTATTATGAAGCATTATAGATTTTATATCATGTGGTAGTTTAGATTTAATATCACGAAGTATTTAAAATTTCATTTTATCTTGTATTTTAGCTTTAATATCATGAGGTATTTTAGCTTTTACATCATGAGGTATTTTAGCTTTTATATCATGTGATATTTTAGCTTTTATATCATGTGTTATTATGGCTTTTATCATTAGATACTATAGCTTTTATAACAAGAGGTATTATAGTTTTTATATCATGGGGTATTATAGCTTTTATATCATGAGGTATTATAGCTTTTATATCATGAGGTATTATAGCTTTTATAACATGAGGTATTATAGCTTTTTATATCATGTGATATTTTAGCTTTTATAACATGAGGTATTATAGCTTTTATATCATGTGATATTTTAGCTTTTATAACATGAGGTATTATAGCTTTTATAACATGAGGTATTATAGCTTTTATAACATGAGGTATTATAGCTTTAATACCATGAGGTATTATAGCTTTTATATCATGTGATACTTAAGGTTTTTTATCATGAGGTATTATAGCTTTTATATCATGAGGTATTTTAGCTTTCATTATATGAGGTATTTTAGCTTTGATATTATGAGGTATCATAGCTTTTATATCATGAGGTATTTTAGCATTTATATCATGTGGTATTATAGCTCTTATATCATAAGGTTTTTTAGTTTTTATATCATGTGGAATTTAGGTTTATATCATGAGGTATTTTAGCTTTTATAAAATGTGGACTTTTAGATTTTACATCATGAGTGTGGTATTTGAGATTTAATATCGGTCTCAGCGTTGTTTATCGGCTCGGCTATTTAACACCGTTTAGTCTAGAATGTATTCCATGTGTTATTTTAGATTCATCTCAAGACATGTAGTATTTTAGATTATATATCATGTAAAATATTTACGATTTTATACCTCGTACTACTATGCGGTACTTTTGATTTTATATTATGATGCTTAAGATTTTATAGCATAAGATGTTTCGCGCCTGACATTTATGGTATTTTAGACTAATATCATTATGTATTTTGCAAAAAAAAAAAAAAGGAAACCAATGCACATACAGATCTTTTGGTGCCTCGACGAAGCTATTATGAATGAAATATCATTCATTAAAGAATACCTCTTCGACACTAGACGGTTATTTTGGTTACAAAAATAGGAGCTGATATGTGGTGATTCGAATAAATCTTGACACGTTTAGGTCTATTTTTGTCTGAATTGCCTGGTCTGGTTTGTTATTTGCCAAAACGGACATATAAACAACTAAAGATAGGAAAAATTTCCGTAGATGCATACACTAATGTAATTTTAATGTTACATTCCATATATAAGGCTTCCTTTGCCACATTTAGAACAGTATTGTCCTGCAAGCGATTCAGAAAATAGATAAGAAATAATTTAAAGAGAGAAAATTTCTATAGAGAATATCGACTTGTTTGGGTCAAATCAGATAACAATGTATTTATATCTTCCACAAAGGAATAATCAAATCTCACAAGAATGTATATCTAGTTTCAAGAGAATAATAAAGTCTCAAATATGCGATAAAACTGTCTTTTGTTACAGCTTTCCGAAACTTTTTCAAACTCTTCTTGAATAATTTTTTTAACACAAGACAGGTTAGCAATATTCATGAATCGCTTTTGTTCATTGGTAGTTGAATTCTTTACCATATAAATCGGTTCACGAAACGACTTATGTTTCATTGTTAAGAAATATGCATACGGTCTCTTCATTACGTGCGAAAGTGTCATTCCATACGATAAAACAATTACTTTCAATAATTTCCACATATTCGTACTTTTTGACACGAACAACTATTGGACTTTTTATCTTGCATTTTTGTTAAAATGTAGTTTATTTCATATGATTTGTCTTATAGTAAAAGGAACTCCACTCCAAAGGTCTAAAACATAAAATATGAATTTCTTACAAAAATTATCTGGGACGCTTAAAACAGAAAAATATGCAAAAGCTATTTAAGAAATATACTCAGAAATAAATTAAAATCGTTGATCATGAATACTTCACCACGATAAGCCTGCTAGTAGAACAACAAACAAAGTTGACCATGAAAACCATACCACATTTAGACTGTTAGTAGAGCAACAAACAAAGTTGATTATGCAAACCATACCACGATAAACCTGCTAATAGAACAACAAACCAAGCTGACCATGAAAACCATACCACATTTAGACTGTTAGTAGAGCAACAAACAAAGTTGATTATGCAAACCATAACAACATAAGCCTGCTAGTAGAACAACAAACCACGCTGACCATGAAAACCATACCACATTTAGCGTGTTAGTAGAACAACAAACCAAGTTGACCATTTAAACCATACCACATTTAGCCTGCTAGTAGAACAACAAACCAAGTTGACCATTCAAACCATACCACATTTAGCCTGCTAGTAGAGCAACAAACAATGTTGATTATGCAAACCATACCACGATAAGTCTCTTAGTAGAGCAACAAACCAAGTTGACCATTCAAACCATACCACAATAAGTCTTATAGTAGAACAACAAAGATTACCATGAAAACCATACCACATTTAGCGTGTTAGTAGAACAACAAACAAAAATGACCATTTTTACAATTCGTTTCGTAGGATATCAATGACAAAGAACACTAGCAAAATGTTGACAAATATTAATATGAAAATAGATAAGAAGTTATTGTATTTGCACTATTTCAGTTCATGCCGGACAAATGGTAATCACTTGGGTCACCCTATAATTTCATATGAATATAAGAATCCGTAATGACGCCTCTGTGTGGTACGTTGCCATATATCTGATGGCAATAATTATTATATTTATAAGTCTTAAGAAATGGAAATAGATGTTGGTATTTTAAGTAAGACTTTCCCATCAAACCAACTTATAGATCTTTTTTGCCTCCGCATTCTGTTTTTTGCAAATTAAAAAAATACCTATCTTTGTGTTTTAAAAAGAAATTTATCATTGTGTTGGCAGATTCAAAAAGTTATAAAATCATAATACAGCTTCTTCAATAACAAAAGCTATATTACAAATATATGAGATAATGTAATAAAGTGTATAAGACAAAAATATATGGCAGCATGGACGATAGCCAAAATATACTTAATAGGCTAATCTTGTCAGTGAATTGTTTATAAGTACGTAGGTCCGTCGTGTGCCAATTAATAAAGTAGCCCGTATTCTCACAGATTGACGACAGAATAGCCCTATTGGATGTATGGTTAATCTAAAAGATGTCTCCGGACAAATATTTACAATCAATCTTCTTGTCGGACTTGCTGAAATGCTTGTGGATTGATGGCATGTAACCTTTGCTCCTCGTATATTTATTGTTGCTTTTAATGTGGGTTCTACATATCTTAATCATTACAACACTCTTAAGTTGACATGAAGCATTCTATGCTCGGATAATTATTCTTATAAAAAGATCTATTAAACTTGGATCAACTTATTGTGAAAATTTAATTTGAATGCTTTACTTCTTTTGCAGCCTAATTTTAGCATTTTGTAAAAGAAAACCCTTAAGATTAGAATGGACTTCTCCAAATTCAAAGTAGGACATGTCTA